CCTAATCCCAAAATCAGATAAAGACATAACAGAAAAAAGAAAACTTCAGGCCAATATAGCTGATGAACATAAACACTAAAATCCTCAACAAAATATTGGTAAACCACATCCAGCAATACATTAATAAGATCATAAACCATGATCAAGTGGGATTCATCCCAGGGATGCAAGGATGGTACAGTATTCGTAAATCAATAAACATAATACACCACATCAGTGAACGAAAGAAAAAAATCACATGATCATATCAATAGATGGGGAAAAAGCATTTGATAAGGTACAGCACCCATTTACATAAAAAGCACTTAGTAAAGTGGGAATAGAGGGAGCATTCTTCAACATAATAAAAGGTCATATATGAGAGACCTAGAGCCAACATCATACTCAATGGGCAAAAACTTAGAGCTTCCCCACTAAGATCAGGAACAAGACAAAGATGCTTGCTTTCATCACTCCTGTTCAACATAGTACTGGAAGTCCTAGCCACAGCAATCAGACAAGAAAAAGAAATAAAAGGCATCCAAATTGGAAAAAGGGAAACAAAACTGTCATTGATTGCAGATGACGTGATAGTGTACATAGAAAATCCTATAGACTCCACCAAAAAACTGCTCGACCTAATAAATGAATTTGGCAAAAGAGTGGGATACAAAGTCAATATCCAGAAATCAAAGGCATTTTTGTACACTAACAGTGAAATAGAGACAGAAATCAGGAAAAAAATCCCATTTGATATAGCAACAAGAAAAATAAAGTTCCTAGGAATAAACATAATCAAGGAGGTAAAAGACCTGTACTCAGGAAACTATACAACACTGAAGAAAGAAATTAAGGAAGACACAAACAAATGGAAGCATGTACTATTCTCATGGACTGGAAGAATTAACATCATCAAAATGGCTATACTACCCAAAGCGATTTATAGATTCAATCCCTATTAAAGTACCCATGACATATTTCACAGATATAGAACAAATATTTCAGAAATTTATATGGAATCATAAAGGACCCTGAATAGCTGCAGCAGTTTTGAGCAAGAACAAGCAGGAGGGATCACAATACCTGACATCAAACTGTATTACAAAGCCATTGTAATCAAAACAGCCTGGTACTGGCATAAAAATAGGCACATAGACCAATGGAACAGAACAGAGAGTCCAGAAATAAACCCAAGTCTCTATGGTCAATTAATATTTGACAAAGGGGGAAGAAGCATAAAATGGAGTAAAAATAGCATCTTCAATAAATGGTGTTGGAAGATCTGGACAGCTACATGCAAAAAAATAAAACTTGATCACCAACTTACAACATATACAAAAATAAAGGCAAGGTGGATAAAGGACTTAAATAAAAGTCGTGACACCATAAAAGTCCTAGAGGAGAACATCAGCAAAATAATCTGACATTCCATGGAACATCTTCACTGATATGTCCCCTAAAGCAAGGGACATAAAGGGAATAATAAACAAATGGGACCTCATCAAATTAAAATGCTTCTCTATGGCTAAAGAAAACTGTATTAAAATGAAAAGAGAATCAACTATATGGGAAAACATATTTGCTAATGATACCTCAGACAATGGTTTGATCTCCCAAATATATAAAGAACTCACATGATTCCACTCTAAGAAGCTAAGCAACCCAATTAAAAAATGGGCAAAGGACTGGCAATTCTCTAAGACAATTCTCCAAGAAGGACATACAGAGGGCCCAGAGACACATGAAAAGATGCTCAGCATCACTAGCCATCAGAGAGATGCAAATTAAAACCACAGTGAGATACCACTTCACACCAGTCAGAATGGCCATCATAAACAAAGCAACAAACAAGTGTTGGAGAGGTTGTAGAGAAAAGGGAACCCTAGTTCACTGTTGATGGGATTGCAAACTGGTGCAACTACTATGGAAAACAGTATGGAATTTCCTCAGAAAACTAAAGATGGAACTGCCTTTTGACCCAGCAATTCCATTGCTGGGATTATACCCTAAGAGCCCAGAAACACCAATCCAAAAGAACCTATGCACCCCAATGTTCATAGCGACACAATTTACAATAGTCAAGTGCTGGAAGCAAGTGCACAGCATTTACTGTGTCCATCAGTAAATGAATGGATCAAAAAACTATGGTACATTTACACAATGGAATTCTACACAGTAGAGAGAAAGAAGGAACTCCTACCCTTTGTGACAGCATGTATGGAACTGGAGAGCATTATGCTAAGTGAAATAAGCCAGGCAGTGAGGGACAAATACCATATGATCTTACCTTTAACTGGAACATAACCAACAAAAGAAAAAAGCAAACAAAATATAACCAGAGACATTGAAATTAAAAACAATCTGACAATAACCAGAGGGGGTGGGGGAGGGGACAGTGGGGAGAAGGGTTTTCAAGAACTACTATAAAGGACACGTGGACAAAATCAAGGGGGAGGGTGGAAGCAAGGGAGGGAGGCGGGTTTGGCTGGGGTGGCGGGAGTGGTGGGGAGAAAATGCAGACAACTGTAATTGAACAACAATAAAGTAATAAAAAAATGAAATAAAATTTTAAAAAAAGAAATGTTCATGATTAGTAGCTAACACTTTCATAGCTCAGCTTCTCCATCTAGTGGCCTGAGTATAACAAGTCTGAAAGTTAGGGAGCAATCCCCAGCCTATTCTTAAATTAAAATGGTGATTGATTTCCAACCTTTACCCGTGTGGCTTGACTAGCTGGACCCAAAAAGACCTTTGCTCAACATTGGAACTACTTAAGCCACCCATGAGACAGATTATGGTCTGTTTACTCCAGCTACCCCATCCAGGTCATGTAAGAGTCAACAACAGCCCTTCTCAATCACTAAGCTTACCTGTCTGTTTTGTCTTTCCTCTACAATGCTGAGATGATCTGGTTCCCTGCTGCTGACCTCTAGGTGGTGCAAAAGGTACAGAGGCCATTGAGGAAATTCCCCACAGCAACCAACTCCAGGCTAGAGAGCAGCTACCCGGGTAAGAGTGGTGTGTGATAGGTCTCATATGGTACAAGTGGTACCACAGTCTCTCTAGAACTCTTTCTTCTGAGCCCCCTCCTGATGCTGCTCCTGACTGTTGCAGGTATGACCTCTGTATTACCTCAGGACAAGCAATTAAGTATTTTGCACTATCTCTTATTTTATTTCAAGGACCTCCATGAGGGCAAGCTTATGTCTGCTTTGCTCACCACTGAAACCACATTGCCCTGAACATAGTAGGTGCTCAACACTGACTTGTTGAAGGGATGGGAGAGCAAATGAGTGACCAAACTGGAACCAACTATTAAATATAAAGATAATATAAAAATTCATGATTCTTGTCTTCAAGTTCATTTATTTTTTTTTAAATTAGTTACACCTAGGAACCAAATTTCAGAGTATAATTTTTTTTATTTTAAAGATTTTATTTTTATTAATTTTTTAGAGAGGGAAGGGAGGGAGAGAGAGAGAGAAACATCAATGTGCGGTTGCTGGGGACCTGGCCTGCAACCCAGGCATGTGCCCTGACTGGAAATCGAACCTGTGACACTTTGGTTCGCAGCCCGCACTCAATCCAATGAGCTACGCCAGCCAGGATAAGTTCATTTATTTTTAACCTCATTTTTCTATTGAGATAAGATTCATATACAGTAAAAATGCACCTTTTTTTGGTACACAGCTCTGTGAATTATGAGAAATGCATACGGTCATGTAGCCATCACCACAAGATATCAAAGAACAACAAAACAAATTCCTTCCTGCTTTTGAAAGTTCACCCCCTCTCTCACCCTTCATCCTGGCCAGTATTGATATGTTTTCTGTCCCTACAGTTTTGCCTTGTCCTGGTCCAAATATCACAAAAAGTAGACTTGAAGTCTGGTTTTTTGTACTTATCATCACTTAGTGTATTTCAAGATCCCACTGTGTTGTTGCACACATCAGTAGTCCAGTCCTTTTCACTTCTGGGCAGCAGTCTACTTGTATAGATGCAACCCCTTAGCCATTCATCACTTTTTGTGGGACAATTATAAGTAAAACAGTTATATATTGATTGCCTACAGGTTTCCTGAGGGTCTTCATTTTTTATTTCACTCGGATAAACATCTTGGAGTGGGATTGCTAAATTGTATGGTAAGGCTATGACAAACTGCCACACTGCTTTCCCATCAGCAGTGAATGAGACTTCTAGGTGTTCTGCACCCCTTGCTAACACTTGGTATTATCAGATTTTGTTTTCAATGTTAGCCATTCTGATAGATGTGTAAAGTTTTGATTTACATTTCCTAGCAACTTTTCCAGTGTTTATTTGCCATCTGTATATAGATATTTTTTTATCCTCACCCAAGGTCATGATTATTGATCTTAGAGATGGTAAAGGAAAGGAGAGAGAGACATCGATTGGTTGCTTTTCATATGTGTCCTGACTGGGAATCAAACCTACAACCTAGGCATGGGTTCTGACTGGGAACTGAATCCACGACTTTTCTCACTTTACAGGATGCCACTCCAGTCAAGTGAGCCACACCATTTGGGGGCCATTGTATATTTTTCTTTGGTAAAGTGTCTGTCAAATATTTTGCTTATTTTGTTATTGGGTGTCTGTTTTCTTCTTAGTGAATTTTGAGAGTTCTTTGTATGTTCTGAATAAAAATTTTGTTATCAGATATAAGTTTTGCTAATATTTTCTACTGTTCTGTGGCTTGACTCTTAATTTGTTTAAGACTTCTCTTGTTTTAGAACCAAATTCCCCCCTCTCACTTTTCAAATGCTTTAAAGTGGTTTAATAAATGTAGGTGTCTGAGGGGGAAAACTTAATGGTCTATCTATAATTGCAGATGGGGTTTTCCCAGGGGCTCAAATCTTTCACTGACCAGTGACTCTGGTGAAGACCAATAGCCTGGTTCTTTCAGGCTCTGACATTTTAGGAAGTTGTGCATGTGTGTACCTCTGACTCTCTTCTCCCCAGGCTCCTCCTCCCCTCTGCGGAGAGATATGCTTCTTCTTTTAGCTCTCTCTGCACGGGTGGCCAGAACAGCGCAGCTCCATCTCTGAGTCGGAGCTGCCCAGACGGAGCACAAGGCCTGCAGAGGGGAAGGCACCTAGAGGACCGAGAGGATGGGGAACTCTCTGCTGAGGGAAAACAGGTGAGTCCAGGCTCCCTAAGAGAAACGAGAGGAGATGGGTCAGGGCAACATAGTCAGAAAAAGAAAAAGAGGTCTGCTCTTAGGAAGAAAAGGAATTGAGTAAGAAACTGAAGAGAATGAAGGGCCTTCAACTGTGCCAGACACCAAGTTCAATTCCTTACAAGTGTGGCCTTCTCCCAAGACCACAGTGAGTAGCTGGTGGAGAACAGCTAAAAGGGGAGGACTTTGTCAATGGAGGTTTAGGCCACAGACCACCACCTGGGAAATGGAACAACTTTCTGAGGCCTAGAAGGGATGCTCTCCTGAGCTCTTAATGACCCACAAGGAGCTCAGAGACACCACCACCTTTTTAATCATTGTTTAAATTCAAAATAAATCACAAACTTCCTGCCATTATGAGGTCATATCTGGTGCACAGTTCCTGCAACAGGTAAGCAGAGGTCATTGAAATTGGTAGAGAAATTGGCTTAAATTTTCTGGACCTAAGTTTCCTCATTTCAAATGGAAATAATAATATAATACGTACTTTGGAGGGTTATAGTATGTGTGATGCTGGTACATAGTGCTTGACACATAGTCAGGTTCAATAATTAGAAGATACTTTTTTCTGGGTCCATCATGTTCAGTATCATCAAAGCAGCCATTGTATCACCAAAACAAGGAATCCCTAGGGTACAAAGCAAGGTGACCTAGGAAAAATGAGCTGACAAGGTCAGGGGCAGGGTGTCTTTACAGAATTATGTTGGGTGTCCCAGGTCTCGGTTTATCAGTTCATGCTACTGGGAGCTACAATAAAATTCAAAATGCCACCTGCCAAAAGGAGGCTTGGCGCACCTGTGACTTGTCTCCTGACCTGCTCCTGAGAGTCAGCAAGCGCTGTCTGAGACCTCTGCTCCCAAATCCTCACAGTCCTTGGTCAATCTGCTATTCTAGCGTTCTTTTATCAGATTACAAATTCCTGTTTTTGTGTCTAGATATGAAAGCCTCAAATATAGAGATCGTTTCCTATTCATCTTTGAATCCCTGTTGCCAGGCATTGTTTCTGACGTATCATAGTTGCCCAGTGAGTCTTGGATGAATGATTGGAAATGTAGAGAAATACTGTTGAGAAGAAAAATAAAACAAAATACAGATATGACATGACTGAGAAAGTGATGATTGATGTCACATCTGTAATTTTGTATTTTAGAACTGTGATGTGGGGGTAAAGGTTTATGACATGAATACTGTTGTAAAAAATTAGAAAATATGTAAAGTATAAACAAAAAAATAAACTGGCAAATAACAGTTATAACTGCTGATAATGTTAGATGCATTATCTTTGTCAATATCTATATTTTCTAGCCATTTGTATTCCTTCATCTGAGAGTCCATAATGTCTTTAGCCCATTTTCATTTTGGATTTTGGCCAACTTTGCTTTACTGAGAGTAAATTTTATTTGTATTTTGAAGGAATTAAACATTGCTCATAAATATTACAAAAAATATTTTCCAGTCTGTGTTTCTTGTGCCATCCAGACATTTTTATGTTTTTTTTATTATATTTTAAACACATTTGAATTAAATCTAGAATGCTTTTTGGTTTCTACCAATTTATGCTTAAAATTCTTTCCCCATCCCAATATAAGGCAAATCCACACTATGATTTTTGTGGCCGTATTGTTTTACATTTAACCTCATACATTCAATATATGGTATCCAATATACCTCGTAAATATTTTTTCCCAAAATATTAGTTAATTAGTTGACCCAGCATCTTCATTTCCATGTTGATTCAAAATGTCTCCTTTAATATAGTCAAAAGTCTTATATTTACTTGGATCTGATTTTCAACTTCACTCCTACTACCCAATTATCATGCAATCAGCACACCCGCACCATGTCTCTCCAGATCAAATTTGTTACAAAAGCCAGGAAAATTTCCCCGCCCCCTCACTCCAGTTGGGCAGAATGGCACCTGTTCCTTCATGAGAGGATTTCAGAGCCTTAGAGAAAAACATCCGTCAGAAGCAAACCCACTCTTTCCACTTACTGGTTGGAGGTCCTCAGACACGTTGTCTAATTTTTTTGTCCACAATATGGACAAAATGTGGTCATATTTTTCAACAGTTGCCTCACTGGTAAAAAATATAACAACAGCATCTACATCATGGATTTATTCTAGGATTAAATGTAATATAACAAAATGTAAATGTTATATACATTATATATATATATTTCATTATACATAATAAGTATCTGTAGTATAAGGAGTGTATATGTAGTGTGTGTGTGTATGTATATGTATGAATAAAGAGTATAGCAAGCAGTGCAAGAGACAGGACCCTGGAATTGCTAGCCCATAGCCTGATGTGTCATAGATTCATGTGGCCTCCTTCACAGAGGTTATCTGAACACACTCTAAACCAAAACATCCTAATTGAAATGCAAGAATATATATATTATGCAGAAAAGTTGAGTGGGGAAATAACCAATTTAAAAATAGTTTTAGCTCATATTTAAGTTTATTTGACCTCCCTGAAGTAAGCAGTATAAGTAACTTCATTTTATAGACTAAGAAACGGTGGCTCAAGGAGTCCAGAGATAATGATCCAGTAACTCAAAATCAACTGTCTCCTTTCATCTTACCCCTATCTCTCTTCAGTGAACCTTCTTTCTTAGCATTGGTGTGAGTGGATGGTTTTCTTCTGATGTCCCTTTAGCCACAGAAACAGGAGATATAAACAAGTGGCTTAAAGAATCCTGAATATAGACTGAAGAGGAGGAAGAACTATAGCCATGCTTCTCAGCCCCAAAGGCTCTGATGGTACATTGACCCTAGAGACTGTCAGAGCACCCTGGTGCCCACAGCCAAGGTCATGTGTAGCAGCCTCACCTCCATGCCTTAAGTGGCTTAAAGAATCCTGAGTATAGACTGAAGAGGAGGAAGTTTCTGGGAAAGGTCACAGGGGATGTTATTCAGGGGTGGTGTTTTCCAAACACTTTTATATGGAGTTACTGGAACATATAGTGCTTTTTAAAAGGATTTCACATTCAAACATGTAGGATTTGACTATGCCTCATATTCAGAAAGATGCCCAGGAGGATACTTTAGACTTCAGCCTAGATGTGACTGCAGAGAGATCCTGAGCCTTTTTGCCATAAAGAATATAACAACATCTGTTTGTTTGGTCATACCCTGGGGCCAGGGAGGCAGATTTGATCACCTTCTGAGCCAGTTAGAGTTGCTCTTTTCTAAGCTACTTATTCATTTATCAAATATTTACTAAAAGTATATTTGCTACCTGCCAGACACTGTGCCATATGTTGGTGACATACACCATGATGAACAGGTAAATATGGTCCCCAACCTTGTGAAGCTCACAATCCGGTGTGGGATATACAGAAGTGAGCAGGCAATCATGATATGGTGTGTATAGGAGAAATTCCGAGTGCAGTGGAATCCTGTGTAAATATTGCCTAACCCAGACCTGAAAGAAATTTCTGCAATGTCCACACACTGTACCTTGTTTTCCTAGAGGTCACTCGTGCATCCTTCAACACAAGGAGCCAAGGAAATCACTGGAAGTGAACATGAGAGACCCTTTTCCTTTTCAGAGAATATAGCAGACAGTTTCTTCCCTGACAGTGTCATCTTCATATTCCCAAAGGGCCAGTTAATGTCCAGGAAAGACAAAGGCATTCTAGCAAGATAGATGTGTCCAAGATACATGTGACCTAGAATGAATACTCTCTTGGAGAAAAAGAAAAAGGAAAGATTTTTCACAGAAATGGCAAAGGGAAGAGAGTCACCTCAACAAAGCTGCAGAAGTTAACCATGTGATTTATCACCTCTCAGGTATTTTAGGTGCTGGGACCACCACATCACAGAAGGGTGTTTCTGCCTTCCATGGTGAGTCAAGAATGAAACATGAGCAATGTTTTCTGGAGTTATTTCCTTTAGTGTGGTTTCAGTGTGTCATTTGCTGAAAGTTACCTGTTAACTACCCGCTGTCTGTGGCCGCAGCGGAAGCCTGTCACTAGGCCTAATAATCATCTGAGAGTCAGTCAGGGAAGCGATGCTTTAAGCTTGCTAAGAAACAGGAACAATAGTCTCATGGGTGGTACGTGCTCCTCAAATGGGAAAGCCACAGCAGCAAGGATGACACTGGCTACCAATGCAGAGAAAGACCCCTTAGTCACACTGCAAATCCCAGAGTCTCCATGTACAGAAGTACACATTTCTGTCCCTTGCACAGAGAGTTTATAACCAGGGTAATTATCCATCCTGGGAAACCTTTGAGAGTGAAAGGGGTGGTAAAATAGTTAAGGATCACTAAGTGATTGGTATCAACATTAACTAGACTATCCTAGCAAACAAGGACATATGGTCATTCTCCTGAGAGCAGATGTCGTCTTTGGCTACTGAGATGACAACGGGCTTCTATTACACTTATATAGTGTTTTTTTTTCAGGGAGTCATCTATACAGTGTGGTTATCTCTGTGCTCATATTGGACATATCTGTTTGTGTGTTTGCTTGTTTGTTTGGAGATCATACACTGGGGTTAGGGCTGGCATTGGAAATAACCATGGCTTCTTAACTCACATGATATGAAAGAAATCAATATTTTGTCATAAAATATCTCCAAAAAATGTTACCTATAACATCACCATAATTCCCCATCTGTAAAGCAATTCCATATCAGCCTTAGAAAAGGGAGAAGAGAAAGAGAAACACAAAAAAGTAATTCTACTTGGTCTCCTTCATTCTTCCTCTTTTCTACCCTCTTATTTACCTATGCTGAAGAAGACATTATAAAGGCCTATAACTTTAACAAATAAAAAAGTTAAAAATAAGTTTTACAAGGAGTATAATTTCTGTTGAGAGTTTCTGAATAATGAAATAACCAATCCTCTTTTCTTTTACAGGAAAAAATTACATATTTTTAAAGCCAGACAAGATTTCCCAAAGGAAAGTAAGTTATTGCTTTCACATCACTTTCACTTTTCATAGACTTACATTTCCAAACCACCCCTTCTCTATGTTTCCAAAGTCCCTTGGGCATATTTCTATGAAACTTACACATTTTGCTGCAATTTGTCCAATTGCATGTCTTTGTTTCTCCACTAGACTGTGAGCTCATTGAAGGGGGGATTGGCTTATTGCTGTCCATATTCTTCAGTTAGTCCCTGAGGTTTGGGGACTGAAGGAGTGAACTAGCAACAGTAAATGCTGCAAAAGGTGGAGGCCGGGGGCCCTCAGAAGGAGCTGCATGGAGGCTAGCTTAGACAGAGAACACAAAGGAAGGGCAGGGCCTGGTCGTCAAGTTTCAGAATGGGGCTTTTGTCTTGAGAATTGCAGAAAGTACTGGAAGACTTTGCATTAAAGACATCACCCAGGTTGCTCTGCAGAGAACATATTGCGATAGGGACTGGCCAAAGCAGATGCTGGAAGATCACAGAGGAACTGATGCAACCGTGTCTGGAGACACAACAGGGCTGAAGTTAAGGAGAAAGAAGAATTTGAGAAGGAGAGGGTAGTGAATGAAATCACATGTAAGGAAGAGACTAAAAAAGTTTAGGCCTGAGGAGAGGTCACTACATTTCTAAAGAAGAAAAACAAAGTTTGCCTTTTCCTTCCTGGATTTAAAGAGGAGAGCCTAGTTAATTTACTGTGAGTCTCAGAAACTAATCCTGTCAGGTGTGTGAATGAATAACAGAGGACTGCCACCCCTGGCTGGTTCACAGGGGAACTGTGGTTCCTAGGAAACCCCAATCTGCATCAGAGCAAAACATGGTAAAAATAAGACCTCTTCTGCGGAAACTCACAGGCCCTTGCCCTGTAGCAACGGTCAGGGCAGTCCTAGATGGCTGTGGGACTCCGTGGAGATACGAGCATCTGGATGTCAGTGCTGAGGGAGTATAAATCCAAATGCAGATGATCACGGCACACCCACCTCCTGTGTAGGGTGGCTTTCATTTGAAAGTGTGGATTTCACATGCTTATCGAACTGGTGTGTTTGCAAGGAGCTATCAAGTGTGTCTGTTTGCCTCTTTGTTGAATGACCAGAGCCAGTTGCCTTTAAGTAAACCAGCTTTTGAAAACTTGGGCTGCCAGCAGGTTCAAGAGTCGGAATGCTCAGAGTGTCCTTCTCTGTAGTGCTTTCCTGGAGCTCCTGCCCCCACAATCTCACCCTCCTCTGATACCTACAGTAAAAACTATAACCCTCCCCTACATCATGGGTCTCTCTTAGGCTCTTGTCTGCCTCCTATGGTAGCCTGTAAGCCCCTTAAATGCAGGGTGTTTCTGTCTTTGTCTCCTCAGTGCCTGGCCCATGCAATGAATTTTGTGTAAGGAAGGAGAGAAGGGAGGGAGTGAAAGGGAAGTGTTGTTTCTTAACCAAACACCCACTGAATGGGTCTCCCTCCACTCTGTCTCTCAGCCTGCGCAGAGCTCTGGCTGTGTCCTGTTTAGATGGCCCTGTCATTCCCCGAGGATGTGTCTTAGGTCGGACGGTCTGGTAAGGGCTATCCGAGCTGTTTTGTGGCTCTCTGCTTTCTCATATCCATGCCCCTCCTGAAGTCTCTTCATGACCTGAAATTCATTTCATGTTTTCTTTCTCCAGGTGAAGGAACATCATCTGCCACCAACCAGGTATTATGAACAACTCTAAGCCTTTTCCTAAGTTGACAGTAAAAATGTAGACACTCCAGATGGTAGAAGTTGGCCTGCAAGACCCCTTTGACCTTAACAAAACAGAAAGACTTTAGATGCTCATGTTTGTAAGCCCAGAGGTGGATGCAGGCCCGGTGGCAGGCACAGCAGCCACCTCTGTTACCCTGTTCATTGAATGAAACAAATATTTATTGAGCACTTAGTTTGTGCCAGGCAGTGTGCTGCACTTCACGTGCATCATCTCACAGAACTGTCAACACAGCCCTTCAGGACTGGTACTATTATTTATGCCATTTTACAGGTGAGAAAACAAGAGATTAAGTGAAATTCCCCAAAGCTAAATAGCTTTCGAGATAGCAGGGGCCTGATTCAGAGCCAAGCCTCCCTCCCAAATATGCTTTTTCCTGTGTACTTTGCTGCTTTGCTTTTAATCTTCTGAAAGTTTCATTGAATGAGACCTCCTCTTGCATTATTTCCGTTTATATTAATGCAAACATCTCTAGAATGGGTGGTTAAATATCACAAGCCAATCAATTATATTTAGGTGTCATCAGAGCATTCTTTTTTATAAGAATGGGCTGCTCTCAGGGCCCTGAGACTGGGCATTACACGGAGTGGTCAGGGGTTGCTCTGGAGCATGGGGTAGAGAGAATCCTGGGTAGGCTGAATACTCTAGGCAGCATGAGCACTCTGGCTGCCTGGGGTAGGTACTGGGGTAGGGACAGCCATTTGGGAGAAAAAATCCAAGAGATGGAGGGGACGTGCTTCGTGGAAGACAGACTTTGCCCAGGCTCGAGCCTATGTTGAGACTGAAGTATAAAGAGAGTAACAAGAGGCCACGTCTTGATGATGGCTCTCTTTTGACCAGCAGGACAATGCTGACCAGAGCTCTGCAGAGGAGCTGTGCTATGCCCTCATCAATCACAGAGTCCTCAGGAGAAGGCCGTCGGGGAACTCTGCTGAGGGGTACTATGAAAACGTCTTTCCCCAGGCTGAGAGGCCCAGAGAGTTGTGGAGAGGAACCGAGACTGACTACTCACTTCTCCATGTGCCTTCCACCCCTAGGCATCCTCCTGCCCCAGAAAATGAATATGAATTTCTACCCACTAGAACCTCCTCTCACAGCCTGGAATAGCCACACCCACTTACACCACTTCTGAAGCTCAGTTTTCCCATTTATAATGAAGCAGTTGGACCAAAATTTGTTTCAGCCCAGCAAATAAACCTGGGGATAGTAGGGCTCTGCTTCTCTCTCCCACCCCACCCCCACCCCTGCATATACAGAACAGCCCCTTCTATAGGTGTCTCTGTAGAACATGGTTTATAAACCACAGGGCCTCTTAGATCCTACTCAGTATTCAACATCCAAAAATCAATCAACTACCCTGAACAGTCTTTGAGAAGGGACTGAGCATATTTGGTTCTAAGTGGCTTTGGAAATGGGCTGCTGTACTCAGAGGCAGAGGGAGTGGTCCCTGGTCTCCTACAGCTACTCGTATCACAAAGGGTCCAGCTCTTCTGTCCAGGTTCTTCACATAAAATGTCCCCAGGCTTGTCCCCTGAAGTCACAAGGAATCTGTACCCAAGGAGAAGTCTACTCATTCTACATGTGTTTATAGGCCCAACTGCTCACTCACAGCTTTCTAGGTGGGCACCTGCATGTTCCTCTTATACCATGCCTCTAAGTGATGTCCTTTGCATGGTGTCCTTTGACTTTCTGGCCCTGGTGGCTTGGTTGGTTACATGGGTTGAATCGGTAAGTCCCAGGCCAAAATTTTATATAATTTTTATGTAATTGTAGTCCATATATATTTTTTAACTTTGTATTTAAATCTTAATAAGAAAATCATAGCATTAAAGAATGATAGTGTAGAAAGATGTTTGGAGATCCTCTAATCCCAGTATTTTTTTTTTTTTGGCTCATTGGTCCAGTGTAACATTGTAAGTTAGTGGCAGAACTTTATATGGAGCCTGAGTTCCTGGTTTCCAATTTAGCACTCTTTCAATGTACTACATAAAACAGCCTCTACTCCACAGAATATGTACATGGTAAATAATACATCATATACAAAATAGGAATAAAATATCCACACAAAGAAAATAACACATACACACAATCCTTCTCTAATGGGCACTTCTTCACATGCTCTGATTATTTTCCCTCATCTGTCCTGCAATGTTCCTACAATTACATCTATCCCCTAAAATAGTGGTCATCAAACTGTGGCCCCTGGGAGAAATGTGGCCAACTGCTTGTTTTGTAAATAAAATGTCATTGGAATAATATAGCCATAGTCATATGCTTATGTAATGTCTGGGGATAGTACAGATTTAAGTAGTTGTGATGCACACTGTAGGTTCTACGAGAAAAACCCAAAAATATTTATTTTGGGCCCTTTTCAAAAAACATTTTGGAGACCCTTGTCCTAAATAATCAGAATTAAGATAAACTAAACAGAAATGTGTTGGGGTATTAATTTGACTTCTAAGAGCTGGTACCAATAAAATGCTATGGAAATATTAAACCACAAATTAGATGAATAAGTCAATAACAATTAACAAACTAGACTATTTCTATATTCACACCTGTTTTTTCAACTTCCTGTTTCAACCCCTGGCTGCTGTCTTAATTTTAAGGATTTTAAAATAGTAAGAGATTTGTTAAGACAAACAATAGATGTATGTTTAATTACTGTTTTGTTCCCCAAACTACTTTGGTCTGTTTAACCAAAGTTAAATAATCTTGTTATTTAAAATGTTCTACAGGGACAATAGGGGAGAGGATTGAATGGGGGTGGGGAGTGTCCAAGGTGGGGGAGAGTGATGCGGGGAAAATGGAAACAACTGTCATTGAACAACAATAAAAAGTTAAAATAAATAAATAAATAAAAATGCCCCTCAAAAGAAATAAAATAAAAGTTCTAAGTGCCCATTGGGCATAAATCCAGTGGCTTGAGGTTGGATGTTTCAACACAGGTTTTCTGAGACTTCAGCCAGTTGATGGTCTTCAGCCAAAAAGCCAAACAAATCTTAGTGTCTTATCCTCTACTAACTTTCTCTTTTCAGCACAATTCTTTTACACTGAACTCTAACTTTGACCTTTGGCCAAGATTCACTCAACTTCAAAATGAGGCAGGGGTGGAGGTAGAGAATACTGTATGAAATGTCAGTATGACTTAGGGGACAGAGTGTGAACTCTGGGGTGAGACAATCAGTTATTCGAATCCTGGTTCTCTCTTTTCCTCCCTCCATGAGCCTTGAGCATGTAATTTGGAGGCTCGGCTTTTTCACCCACGAACAGGAGAATTCCATCTAATGTATGTAAATCATTCATCACAGACCCTGAATAAATGACATCAAAGAGCAAAATGAAACAAAAAACTTTATGATGTATATAAAACACCATGTGTTTTTGTGCCTGGTGATCCAGGTCACCCAGCAGTCTTCCAGCAAGGCAGAAACACAAAATTCTGGGGGTTGTGCTGCAATTTTTCACTTGGATATTGAACTATTGTGGAGCTGATGAGCTCCAATATTCTTAGTACAATATGTTATATTTGATTGAGCCTTATCCTGTGAAAACCTTACCTGTCTGAGATAGTATTTGCCTTTTATTGGGAACATATTAAGTATAAATGCTTAGCCAAAAATAGTTGTTCTTAAAATGAAATTTGAGAGATTATGAAAAGAATTACATTTGAGCAGAAAAGTCTTTTGGGAGTGCTTTCAAATATCTACAATGCCTGTATATAATACTAATCCTTTTTTATAGATATCAGGATTTCTGATGAAAATTGTGCACCATCTTCACAGAAAAAGCACACAAGACAAGCCAGTAAGCCAGGATAAGTAGAATAGTGAAACTGAGACAGATAGTTAAACAGGCAATTTGTAGCCATTTAGTAAATTTTATCTTCCCTGATCCAAGTACTGTTAAGAGTAAATGGTATGCCCTTCTCCTCCCCAACCAGAGGGTAAATCAGGGAGCTAAATAACAGAAACCTAATTAGTGTCATTTACCAGCCACACCCAAGGACAGATGAAGTTAATGGAATTCATCTTATTTTAGCACAGCAGCCTAAATTTGATGAATATTCTGTTGAGATAGTCCTCAAGACCACTCCTAAACTCCCAGCCTTTAAAAACCTCAAAAGACAGGTCCCAACATACACTCTTCCTCCCAGGAACATGCCTGTGACTCTCCCTTCTCCTCTTCTTCCCCAACAGGCAAGCATCTCCAACCCTAAAGAACCCCATGATGCTTGCAACCAGGAAACTATGGGCTGAGGCTCCCAGTTTTCCCCCTGACCCTGTCCCCAAGACCCCCTTTTCCCTGACTCTTAGTGAGCCAGAAAAGCCCAGCCTAGACTCATTTCTCCACCTAGTCCCTCTCCTGTTGCTTCCTCTATCCTAGGTCCTTCTTTGTTTCACTATCCCCAGCTTTAATAAACATGCTCTCAAAATTACCTGGACTTGTAATTTGAAATCTTTCCTGCTAGAAATCAAGAACTTACACACCACTGGCCAGCCCTAGGCAGACCTGCTCAAGGTCAGGTCCAGTATCTTTAACACACACACACAATATTTGTATACAATTTCAAAAAATTGGGAATGCAACTACTTAGTTAAAAAATTCTTGTTCTTGGTTTTTTTAAAAATGAGGCTGAAAATTAAATCGTTCCCTCAAGTCACAAAAAAATCAGAAAACCCCCCTCCCCCATGCCGGTCTCAGAACCATACACGGCCAAAGCTCACAGAGGCACGTTTATGCAGCTACTGAGGGCTCTGTGGTTTCCTTTTTGCATTTAACTAGCATCTATAAATAATCCCTAAGTCTGTGAATAGATTTTTGTTTAGAACAGAAAAGAGGCACAAGAAAAGGGCAAAGATAGGTGAGGAAAATCTACCGTTAACAATAAATAAATTCAAATGTTGACATTATAAGGACAATCTCGGGTTCTACAAGTGTTCTCAGGGATGGAAGGGCATAGGCAGAAGTTGGAAGGTGAGCCCCAGGACTCCACAGAAGACTTCAGAGAACAGGATATTCTATTTATATTTCCTGACTCTGTTCTCTTCCCAGCCAGCTTCTTGTCTTCAGAAAGCAACTTGAAAGCCACTGGATCTGAGTATACATCAGGTCTGCCAATTGTTAAATGGGTCAGTATAAGTCCCTCCCCCTTTCCTACAGACGGTTCTTTTGCAAGGCACTTGGGGAAAGATTAAGTGTCATCATAATCCCAGAGAGTCTTCTACCATCCGACAATCACACTTCTCAACTCACCCTTCCCCCTCTCCATTCATGCTACTTGTGGATTCCCAGCTGTCAGCCAAACCCGAACTGAACATGACTTCGGGGTTCCCAGCCAGGTGGGAGGCCATTGATGCTGTGTGGTGGCCCAAGAGGCTGAGCTTTGCTTCCCAAAGCTGGGGAGCTCTGGGCTTATCCTCCTACTTTTCCAGGCCTTGGTTTCTTAACTATGAAAGAAGGGGGCTGCTCTCTAATGCTAATCATAAAGAAAAAATATTAAAAAGATGGGCCTGAATGCAGCTGCCAGAAATGCACTAATGAATAGTGTGAATTAACTTATTCTAAAGCCATGGAAAAGAAATCAGAGCAGAGAAGAAATGTCTCCCATTTTTCTCAACACTGATCAGTCTCTGAGTAGAGAAGAGCAGAAGTTTATGTCTGGAGTCCACACCTAAGTGGGAAAGGAGAGAACATTCATCAGATCCTGATAAGACGCAAACACATGTGAAAAAAGGCAATCCTATTTATTCAAATCCCACCACTACTTCAGGATCAGTTAATGTTCTACATCCCAGGCAAATATTTCTCCATTTAAACTACACTGGCTACTCTTTTTTCTGTCTTTATTTAATTTTAACATCTGTCTTTTTTTTTCCTCGTTTCTTGTGTCAACATAAGAAATGTCCAAACCTGTAGGAATTTTAATGAGTTTATTTGAGCCAAACTGATAACTTGCTGGGAAGCAAAACCTCAACAAATTAGCAAATGCTCTGGAAAATGGCAGTTTTGCTCCTTTATCTTATACATTACAACCAAAAGAGAAGATGTTAGTGCCTTATGTGAAATCCACTGGTAATAGGTTAAGTAGGCAGGAGAAAGAAAAGTAGGGGAGAACCTCTAGGATTGGATAAAAAGTAAAATGATAAGACACAAATGAGGTCTGTTCAGAAAGTATCCAGCCATGTGATATGAAAAACAGAGACGTTTAGTGAAGAAGATACAAGATCCTCACACAGTTCTCCGAGCACAATGTTCCTTCTGCTCTGGTAGCAGAAGCCACAGAACAAATTTTGCCATGTGTTTCATGCCAAGATCCTGAGTCAAAATCTCAGACATAGTAGTTTTTGGAACCCCCAAATCAGCTTCCAGTTCTTGCACTGTCAGTCAGGGATCTTAGTTGCCTGCAGCCTGCACGGTCCAATGGTGTCCAACCCATGGCCTGTCCCACTGTATGTGGCCTAGGATGACTATGAATGTGGCCCAACGCAAAATCATAAAGCTACCTAAAACCTTTTTTTTACTCATCAGTTTTTGTTAGTGTTTATGTGTTTAATGTGTGGACCAAGACAACTTTCTTATTCCAGTGTGGCCCAGAGACGCCACAAGGTTGGACAGCCCTGCATACATGTTCAACATTCTCAGGTGTTCTGCTTGTGGCAGGCCTTCCAGAATGTGGATCACTTTCAATAGATTCTCAACCATCTTTGAGGCCTTTGTGCCACACTTTCATTTGCACTGCACTCATTGCATTGTCCCCAAAAGCCTTCTGAAGCATCCGAATAGTTCCCACAGAGGGATGTTCAAGCTTAATGCAAAATTTGATGTAGATCCATTGCCTTGCTTGCTCAGTCATTTTGAATGCAATGGCCACACAGAACACATGCCCATTCAATCAACAACATCTACTGCCCCCTCTGACTAGCATAGTAAAGTCATCATTGTTCACACACGCACATTCCAGCCCACTTTCCTTGGCTGCCAGGTTACATCGATGTCATGCAAACTGTTCTCATTATATTAACAATGGCTGGACTTTTTTCAGACAGACCTCATACTTTTTTTACATAAGTGGGTACAGCATAGTTAACAACCAACAATTAACACAGCGACAGTAACAATGAGAGGATCTGTGGTGCCCCTCTTTCACAGTTGCCAGTACTTTGAGGGCTCTGGAAAAAGAAAATTTGACATTCCAAGGTATGTTATTGTAGATGCAAAAAGACAATAGACAGGCTCAGTTAAGGTAAAGATTGACTTTTTTCAGGGAAGATTCTAGCCTAGGACATGACTGCCTGCTGTGACCTACTTTTTGAAAGTTTTTGATTTCAAACATTTCCATGTTGTTACTTTAGGTCCCTGAGTTTGTAAGTCCATCACACAGGCCTCACCTGGGCTTGTCAACTTTGGTATGTGGCCCCATTTGTCCATATTTGTTTTATCTGTGTCACATTTGTTTTACCAGAGAGCCCCAAGATGTTCCAGAACTGTCAGTAAGGTCCTATTGCTTGCCACCTAGAGGCATAACTCTAAAGACAGGAGTTTGGTGCAAAAGAAAGTGGTTGTTTATTTAAAGGTTATAGAGTTTTGGAATGGTGGTAAGTTTCTACCTCAGGGCCCCACTCCCTTTAAAACACCCAAAGACAAACAGACCTGTCACCCTCTGCTGGTTCAGGAATGCACCTCAAATCCCTTTTCGCACTCCTAAAAGTACCATCCTTTATGAAATGCAGATAACTGCAGCAGGATTATCCAGGCAGCTGGGCAGCTTCCTGGTTGCAGTTCAGCTAGTGCAGCCAATTTCTGTGCTGGAGGAGTGCAGGGGCTTGGAGTGCAGCCACATGGCCTCAGGGAACCTGCCAGTCACAGGAACTTGGGCTTCCTGCAGCTGACCAGGCTAGCCAGGGGAAAGGAAAAAGCCAGCAACAGACCTTGTGCTCCCTGGCTCCATTTAAAAGCCCTTTCCCAGAATCCCATGTGCCCTGGAAGCCAGTGGGAGTGTCCAGTGTTCCAACCAACGAGGGCCAGTGCTTGGCAGTGTGCCTCTGTCCCCTCCAGCTACCAGGTTTAGCAAGGGGGAAAAATCCTGAACCACTCTTGCTCTGTACAAGGCCCCTCCCTCTGGTGGCCCCTCCCTTCACAGGGAGAGCAACCTAACCTCCAATTCTACCTTGGGGTTTCCTCCCAGGCCCTGCCTTCTTCAGCATGTGGTGTGACCCCTCTGTTATATGTGCAGAGTCTGTGTCCCTGTAAGACCAGAATTTCTTTACTTACTGTCTTCTTCACTGGTGTCTCCTACAACTTTTTGCAAACTCATCATTAAAAAGTCTACAGAACTCATTTAAATTGCAAGGCAAAAAAGAATTGTGCGTGTAGATAGAATTTTTGTTGGGGTTGGAGGGCAGGTTTGTCTGACCTGGCTGTATTCTTTCTATCCATATCTAAAGGACTTCCAAAAAAGACCAGTTTTACTTCTTAGATCTTTCAATTATTTTACAGATATGTGTTAAAACCTTATTATGTACCAGACATTATGCTCATAATTAGAATGTGTGATGACCAACAAATTCACCTCTGATAGAAGAGTGTATAAATACCATATTTTGCCATGTATAATGTGCACTTTTGCCCAAATTTTTGAGGGAGAAATAAGGATGTGCATTATACATGGGTATAATGATTACATATCATGGGTATAATAATGGGTGTAAAAATCCCATGTATAATGCACACAAAAGTTTGGGTGCATATAATACACAGCAAAATATAGTAAGTGCCTTTTTTTCCCAAGCCCTCAAAATGCTTTAGTCACAAAGTTCAGTTCTTTCCAAAAAGAACTGAAAAAGTCCACCCTATGGAAAACCCTATGACTTGCAACTTGTCAAATCTCAAGACAAGATACTTGCATCTTGGTGCTTTCCAAAGGAGAAGAAAGATCAAAACCAACCCTGTCCTGACCCGAAATGAACCAACTCTTCCTTCCAGCCCCAGGCCCTTCAGACACCTGGCCCTGCCTGGAAAGATATGGAGGGGAATCAAAGTACCCACCCCACACTTACTGAAACAGAGAGGAGAGCTCCGCCCACCCCAGTTCAATCTCATTCTCTCCCAAGGGGAAGCTGCCCTCAGGGAAATGAAAAGATCGCTTCCAACACCATTTACTGCACAAAAATACCAACCCAAATCATGGGCCCTGGAGAGTCAGCGCCAATGAAACAAACATAAATGCAACAGAGTAGAGGCAAAAATAATTTATTGTAAATATTTTAAAATCCATTTCCATTAATTTTTTTCATTATTTTCTAAAAAGTACAAATATACTAAAGTTTCTACTTGACATGTAAAAAATAAAGAGGAAGATGGATAATTCACCTGTTTCGCTAGTTTGAGGAACTATCCTCAAAATGAGACACTGTGTTAAAATAAATGTATCTTCCAGTTAAATAAGAAAGTTCACATTATCCAGAGTCCTGGGTCACAGAGAGCTCAAGGCCAATCCACCTGGGAGACAACACTCAGACACACCCTCCCACAGCTGCCCCTCAAACTCTCACTTCCACCTAAGGCCAATCTAACTGAGATGTTAGGGTGAAGGACCTCTCATTACAGCATGACAAAACTCTTTCTCCTGGAAAATTTTCAAACAATTTTCCCAACAAAACAAATATCCTGTTCCTTCATGACAGGCAGTTCTAGATCTGCAAATGACCAATCTAGTCACTAATATTCCCCCCACCCTGCCAGTGAACAGGCATTAAGCTTCCAACAATTTGTTTCAGAGAGTGGTTCTTCCTGTTTCATCATCATCTTCCGTAAGACCCACAATCAGTGCCTGAAGACACTGGGTCATACAGGAAGGCCATTGCCACCGGACGATGGAAAGCCCACGTGCAACAGCTGCAGCAGACGGGAAAGAGTCTTAATGATTCCCTGATGGAAGGCTGTGACAATACACATGGAAGAACTATCCAAAATGACAGCAGTGTGTTCAAAACTCTCAGGGGAGCATGTGGCTAAAAGAGGTGTTCAGAAGCCACAGGAACACTGAGGAGATGCAAAAATAGTTTAAAAACACACATCTTATTTCTGCAGCTATAGCTAACACAGTAACATTGGATGATGTGCCTGCCTACAGCTGGTTACCTAAGGAATGTAGCTACAGGTCATGAGAGTAGACACAGAACGAGGCTGCTTTGATCCTGCAAAGTGCCCTTCTTTTCCTCACAGGCTAGCTTAGAGGTAGATCAAATACAGTGGTGAGTGGGTGGGGGATTTCAGTGAGCCGGCAGCTCAGTTCTCCCTGACCTGCTGCCACCTTTCCCTGGGCTCACTCCACAAGCACAGTTTGGCAGGATCCTGCCTGAAAGACTACTCTACCACTTAAAAGAAAGTGTCCACATGTGGGTGGAAACAGCTAGTGCTTCCAGAATGGCCCTGATCTCACACTGCAAGGTCTGCCCTGCGACCCCATCACCCCTGCCCTGTCTGGCCTCCTGCCTTTATCACAAGTGCAACCAGGACAGCTCTCGGCTGCTGTTTTGCTGAACGTTGTAACTGTGCACAGGCAGGGGAAAAAGAACTGTGCCCAGACCTCTCGTCATTGCACATGCTTCAGTGTTAGTTCACAGTCTTTTTCCTGCAAAATGGAATGAATTCTCCTCATCCCACGGTTCAGGGGATCACTGCTTTCAGACACAGGCCGACCTCGACCACTTCACTCTGAAAAGAAAACACAAACAAAAGGCACTAAGTTTTTTAGAGCCATGCTTATTTTAAACATGTATGTCTCTACTTTTTATCTGTTTTGAATAATACACTAATATAAAATTGGAATATTTGTAAGTTCCTAGCAAATGTACTCTTTAGTCCACATATACACACACACCCCCTCTGAGTCTTTTTCAAAAGGCAACTAGCACACTGTGGGCTCATTCGTTTTGGTGTAATTCACAGGAACATTTGATGAGGCCTGTGGGTACTGTGGACATGTTAACATTCAGTCTTTTTTCACAATCTCACTATAAAAATACCTCTAAATTTTCAGAGTTTTTTGAAAGGTGCACAGTATATCGTCAGAAATTCTGATAAGGGGAATGGTGTGGACCCAGCCTGACCCAGAGGGTGCTGCCCACGCAAGGACCTAGGGATGCTCTATGGAGAGCCCTTCTCCCCCAGGGCCTCACAGTTGGCACTGGGGGTTGGGTGATTCCTCGTAGGAGCGAGCACTGGAAGATGTCTGACAAGAATCCCTGACCTCAACACTAGATAGCAGTACCCAACATACACTCCCAATTGTGACAACTAAAAGTGTCTCCAGCCTTGACTGGTGTGTCTCAGTTGATTGGGCACCATCCCACAAAGTGAAAGGTCACCAGTTCAATTCCTGGTCAGAGCACATGCCTGGGTTGAGGGTTTAGTTCCGATTTGGGGCATGTGCAAGAGGGAGCCAATAGATGCTTCTCTCTCACATGGATGTTTCTCTCCCTCTCTTTCTCCCCACCTTCCCTTCTCTCTAAAATAAATAAATAAAATCTTTAAAAAGAAATGAAAATGCTTCCAGACATTGCCAAATATCCCCGAGAGGGGTAAGGGGGTGCAAAAGTGCCCTTGATGAGAATGACTGCTCTTTGACTAAACTCTGCAAGCCTTCTGGGGGAATCTATAAACAGCCAAAAAGGTTTCCCTTGATACCCCAGGTGGTTCTTTCAAGGACAAAACTCACACTGACTTCTCTGCCAGCAGCCAGCTCATCATTTTACCCAAAATGTGCAAACAAGATTCACTGTTCTCACTTCCTGGACCTTTTCATCTTCTCTCCACAGAAATCCGGTTTTGCCTTTGTTGCCTCTTAGTGTACTGACTGTTTACATGTGAGAAACCTGTACAAAATAACTAACCCAGATCCAAAATATCTCATGACATCCAAAATAAGTGACTGTTTTAGATGTTCACAACAGACTTCTCCTCCTTATTCCCAGGCCCCAACCACGCATAAGGTGAACAAGCTCAAAAACAGGGGCAGTGGAAGGGGTTGATGCATTAAAAAAATTTTCTTTAAACTACATGGTATCATAATAAGTGAAATAAGTCAGGCAGAGAAAGACAAATACTACACGCTCTCACTTATATGTGGAATCTAAAAAAATTAACATAGAAAAAGAGAGCAGATTGGTGGTTGAGCATGGGGGGTGGGTAATTAGGATGAAGGTGGTTAAAAAGTACAAACTTCCAGTTATAAGATATGTAAGTACTGGGCCCCAGCTGGTATGGCTCAATGGATTGAGTGCTGGCCTGTGAACCAAAGGGTCACCAGTTGGATTCCCAGTCAGGGCATATGCCTGGGTTGTGGGCCAGGTCCCCAGTAGGGGGCGTGTGAGAGGCAACCACACACTGATGTTTCTCTCCCTCTTTTTCTCCCTCCCTTTCTTTCTCCCTCTCTTCCCCTCTCTCTAAAACTAGATAAATAAAATCTTTTTAAAAAACGATATATAACTACTGGGGATGTAATGTACTTGTTGACTATAGTTAACACTCCTGCATGGTACATTTGAAAGTTGCCAAGAGGGTAAACCTAGAAAGTTCTTATTACAAGGTAAAAACATTATTCTGTCAAAAAGAAAACAACAGCTCAAAATGAAGTCCCTTTTGCAAAGTCCCACCAAGACTAACTTACTGCCTAAGTCACTTGCAATGTCAGCCTTTCTCAGGAGAAAGACTTAAAACCAAGGAGTCTGGAATTTTGGGGTCAGCACCAGTGAGGTAATCTGCCTGGAAATCCCCCCATCTTCCCTTGAGGGAAGGTAACCTTGCGTGAAGTAATCCATCCTTTCAACTTCCTTGCCCTGCCCTCTTCCTGCTTATAAAAACCTTTCATTTTGCAAAATTCCTCTGAGCAACTCTCTATTTACTGGACAGGATGCTGCCTGATTCCTGAATCATCCAATAAAGCCAATGAGATCTCTAGGTTTACTCAGTTGAATATCCGTTCTTTAGCAGCAACCACGAGGAAGCAGGTAATAACTGCACTCGCTGTGGCAACCACTGTGCAGTGCATGTGCCAAGTCATCGTGACGCACACCTTAAACCCACCGTGTGCACGTCAACTGCACCTCAATAAAACCAAGAGGCAAAGGTCAATATTAAAAAATTCCCCTCTGATTATAATAGTAAGGGAAGTTTTTATTTGTATAAGGCAGCAAAATATGCCTGCAGCTAGGTGGAAGAGTCACTGTAGCTCCACATCAGAACATGAGAAACACAGGCATACTCCCCCAGGGATCCGAATCAGAGCCTAACTTAAGGTTCTGACCCTAAAGGGCACATACATAAGGATCCCCGGGGAACTAGAGGCTGGCCTCAGGGAATCCCTGGAAACCTGGATTTGTAAAATTTTGTGTAGGGGGAGAAGTTATGTGCTTTTTCTCTGGGGAGAAGGTACTTGGCTATCTTTAAATTCTCTAGCAGAAATACAAAACTAACAACTAAAAGAATCTCTGCTCTTTGAAGAATTAGAGCATTAACTTTGTGGGAAACTAGTTGCCCAGCTCATCACAGGTGTGGTGGTAACCCTCCAAGCCCACAGTGCATGTGAACATGGGGAACTGGCCTAAGAACCCCACTGGGTCTCACTCGGTCCCTCACAGGGCCCTGTGCCTACGTCGGCCACAGCATCTCTTCCCTTTCTTTGGAGTTTCCCCCTCAACTTGTCCACTCCCTTGGCCTACCTGCCTTCTCTTGTTTGGTCATGGTCTTACCCTATTTGAGAGTAAACTGATAGTCATATTCCTGAAAATACTGAATGGCTAAAAATACTGTACAGGGATGCCCTGGGAAGTGGATGTGGGGTCACAGGAGTCCCCCCCAAAAGAAATGTCTAAGAGAAGAAGCACAGTCTCCTGAGGCACAGAAACAGTCCACCTTATGCTGACCCCTGGGGCCAGAGGCAGAGTGGGGACCTGGGGAAATGTCTCACGCTGCTTGGCTGAGCTTGCCTCAGGCCTCAAAAGCAATGTGCCCTTTATCACACTCCCAACCTCAAAAGAAAATCCTCTTAAACTTTTTCTCACCCTCCTCTGTCCTCCCACACCTGTGTTTGGAAAGGGCAGGTAACCACAGAATTTACAGAGGCCTGAGGACATTGAGACCAGTCACACCACAGCAGCCATTAGAGTTCCCTTCTCTCACCTCTTTACACAGGATGAGGTCATAGGGTTTTTTCCTTTCTTTTTAAAATTCTTGTAGAAGGTGCGTAATCCTTCACCGCACAGATGTATGCCATCGGCCTGGCCCACAGGCACACTTTATTTATTCAGCTGCTCTATAAGTAGACTATTCGTTTATGAGACTTTCCCAGTGAGCTGAAGTTTGGCCTTCTAAATGTCATTCTTTCTATTCGTTTGCTTACTGTAATTTTCTGTGTTCTTAGGCCAAGATTAATCTACTCTCACCTCCCATCCTCAAGAAATGTGTCATCATAGTGAGCTCCTGCCTCTTCTCGTGCTATGAAGTCACACAAGTGCTTCACAATCTCTCTGTTCGCACTTCTGAGGCCAGGCTGCTGGCACTGTGCCTGGTGCTAACCACATCTTCTGATTTGCCTTTTTCATTCATTCAACTAGTATTTATGACCACAAATGTGCAAAGAGTGTTTCTGATGGATGGTAGATGAGAAAATAAAACACCCAAGACTGTTGGCATGTGGGGCTAACGAGAGCCAGTGCCTCCGCAAGGGAGGACTCAGAAATGGAAAGTGAGAAGGGATCGAGAGTCAAAGGTCAAAGCTTCAGAGCAGACAATGGAAGGACATTTCAAAGTTGTGGCTGTTCCACCTCCCACCTTCCTCTTTTCTAGGTCTTGGGCAAAGTGAGAAAAGTTCTCCTGACAAGCAGGGTGTCTTCTATGCTTATTAGACAATGTATCACTTTCTTGTTCTGCTGTTAGCCTTAACAGCAGTGCATAAGTAAACTTATTATAATCTTCTAAGGAAAGAGGTTAACTTGACTTTTTATGCCCTTCTATTAATTTGTTAATGAACTCATTGGCCTTCAACAGGAAATGAGTGAAGTTTCCATACTGAGATAATCCTTCAATGATTTAACTCTACTGTTTATCTCAAATTCTTTAACACTTTCTTCTCTCGCAAAACCATGGTGTTTCCATGAAGGTTGCACTCATACCTCAGAGAAATTGAGCCTTGGGTTCCAGACCACCACAATAAAGACAGAATCACAATAAGGCGAGTAAAAATCTCTTTGCTGGTGAAGGCTTTTGCCTTTGATTTGTAAAAACTGCAACATCCATGAAGCACAATAAAGTAAAGTACAATAAAATGAGGTAGACCTGAACTAATAATACCAGAAAGTGAAATGTGGGGCTTAGCATGTAAGTGAACTACAACAAGAAAACATTCAGCAATCCTCATCTTTATAGTTCAATTATTTTTTCCATGATTTTCCCCCAACTACTCAGCCTGATCATGGAGGGCAGGGACTGTGTAACCTCCACAGAACAGGAAACATCACCCCCACAGAAATTAACCCGAACCCTCTGTCCCCGGCCTGGCTCACTTGCTCACCAGCACAACTCTGTCTTCTTGTTCGACTTACCGTACAGCAGGAGGGACTCTGGATCAAGCTCCAGAGTCTCACAGCCAGACAGGCTCTGATCATGGAAATCCTGTAGCAAAATGCCCAGCACCAATTCCTCACTCATCATGTATTTCATAAAATTTTTGTCTTCGGATGGAACCCCAAACTGCAGGTGGTAGGTTATGGTGGCATTTTCTCCTCTGAAGGGCAAACTAAACAGAGGCAATCAAACACAACAAGATCACATTGCAACTCCAGACTTGTTTTAGCAACGACACTTTTTATTAGTGCCGCGTGCTCTTCCGGGGACAAAATAGCAAAGGGTGTGCTGGGAGAATCCCATTCCATAGGTCTAACACAAAAAGTTCAGGTGATCCTCACTTACTCCTTCCTCCTCAAATGTATTCCCTATAGGAGTCCACCGAGAGGCCAGTGAGGGGAGAGATGGGACCCAGCTATTGTCAAGGTAGATCTGAGGTAGATCTGTGGCGCATTGTCTGCCCCAACACCAGCTTTTCTTTGACCTGCCCCTGACCCCTGCCAAGGCAGACCAGGGAAGTCCTGTTCTCTTTCGGTATTCCCTTCTCCACGTATTCACTCTACATCCATTCCCCACCCCAACAAGTGTGCGTCAGTCAGAGCTGTTTGCTTTAGCCAGTTAATTATTTGGTTTTTATTTTTTTTAATTTATTGATTTCACAGACAGAGAGGAGAGGAGACAATAGACAGACACACAGGAAAACAGACATTGATTTGTTGTTCCACTTATTGATGCATTCATTGGTTGATTCTTATATGTGCACCGACGGGGAATTGAACACACAACCTTGGTGTATCAGGATGATGCTCTAAACAGCTGAGCTACCTGCCCAGGGCCCATATTATTGTTTAAAGTAGGACCCAAAGCTCTCTGCCATCAGAGGTGCAGAACTCCTGGGCTCCCACCAACCGCCCTCTTGTACCAGCAGCAAATTATACCTCCCCAGTTTGTTCCCAAACTAAGAAACTTATTCTGTCCCGTTTGCACTCCCGAGGCTGCCAGCTTCACAGCTCTCAGGAAGGAGACCTAAGGAAAAGGAGTGTTCATATTCCTAGAAAATATTTTTCCTGTTTCCAAAATAAAAATAATCATAGAGCTATTCTCAGTTGAGTAGCATATATCACTTGTTAAATGCTACATCAACATTTAGATTTTCCAAACTTATCCTATTACTTTCAAAAAAGACCCAGATTAAGAACAGGCAATAAAATTATTAAGAGATGGCCAAATCTGAGACTCTCACCCCAGGGCAAGTTTTATAGACCCTTCAGTCCCAGTAGTGAATGCTGTCCCGGTTAAGAACAGGCACAGGGCTCCCTCTTGTGGCCAGAGGTTACATAGACCAATACCTTTACATGGGGCTGACAACAGTCTATAAACTATAAGAAAGCCAAGAAGTGTGCCAAACCCTATGGTTTAAATGAATAACAGACAGTCGAGACTCTGGAGAAACAGTTTCAAGCATGCCACTACAGGCAGGATGAAAAATGCACTTTCAAACTCTAAGCCAGCGACTGTAGTTTACAGATGTTCCTTATGCTTTACCTTCTAACTGTCACTAATGATGGTCGCATCTGGACAGTCTCTCTGCACTCCCACGAGCAAGGACTGGGGTTGGCGTATGGGAAGGACTAGAGGCTGACTTTCACAATACCAAGGCCAGCAGCTGAGAGCGAGGATTGTTCTGCCTAGCATCATCCCAGCAAATCAGGTCTCAAGGTGAATTTGTGTAAGGCTGAGTTCTCAGGGGAGAAGAGTGATTTCCAGGGAAGCGGAGACCCCTGTGGGCTTTGCCTCATCTGCCCACCACCTGAGTGGGTCCAGTGGCTAATGAACCAATGGGCATGTCCCAGGTTCCTGCTGGGCCAGTGCAGGACTGAAGTCAGGATCCCCCTGTGGACACAAATGTCTCTGGGCGTGTGGCTATCTCCTGCTCCCAGGAGCAACAGTGTTTTTGGAGGCAGTGGCTTTTGTTTCTCAATTCGACATTGTTGAAACTCTGACTAAACTTTTAAAAATGAAACAAAAATGTTTCACAGGCAGAATTTCATTATCCAAAATACTAAAATCCTTGGGTTTTTCTTTCCAATAACTTTAAAAGGCAGATTCTCTTATAGTAAATCTTCAGATTTCTAGCCACGTTTTACTCATTTTTTCTGATGAGTTTTTCCCAGGGTCAACCCCAACCCATTATGCGATCCCACCTCCTCTAAGCCCATCCTGGGAGGCTAGATTCTTGAAAAAGCCCTTCAGGTTCTGAACATCATCCTTCTCTCAAGTCTGTCTCAGTCTTTGAGTTGTAAGTTGGGGCAAGTGCATGGAGGAAAGCACGCTGGTTCTGATTATGCACTTCCTCCCTTTCTATTGGTGCTTTAGTACCAGCGGTTTGTGATTAAAACGAGCAATGTCAAAGAAGTCACCTTACTCGGCCATAAGAAAGAATGAAATCTTATAATTTGCAACAGCACAAATGGACCTAGAGGGTATTATGCTAAGTGAAGTAAGTCAATCAGAGAAACACAAATACTATGTGATTTCACAGAAATGGGGAGTCTAAAGAACAAAATAAAGAAACAAAATTGAAACAGACTGATACAGAGAACAGACAGATGGAAAGGGGGGTTGGGGACGGGATTAAGAAGCACAAATCAGCAGCTACAAAACAGTTATGGGGATCTAAAGTGAAGCATAGGGAATATAGTCAGCAGTATTGTAGTAAAACTTTGTATGGGGTCAGAGTGCTGGAAACTGCAGAGAGAGCACTTCATAAAATATATGACTGCCTAACTACTATGCTGTACAGCTGAAACTAAAGCAAAATAGTACTGAACATAAACTGTAACTGAAAAATAAAGTTTAAAAGACAAAAGATGTCACCGTAAGCTAACATGCACTTAGCAATCCACAAAGGAGGAGGACTGTGTTGCCCAGGCAACCTGCCGTTGCCTGTGTTTTCCACCCCATTGTGCTACCATCTGCTTCACTAGCTTCCCCTCCCGTGACTATTCACCTAACGGTGGCTGGCCTGGCCGGTGGGGGAAGTGTGTGGCAAGGGAGGGGACGTCGATGGGATACAAAGGCCTTTGATGGTTGCTTTCCAGGGATATCTTAGGAACGGTAGATAATAACACTCAGGTAAATTTTGTCCTAACAAACAAAAGGATAATCAAATGACTCTTCTACACACATATGTCCTTTCACATGTGTCTACTGACATACGCAAAAATATTACAGATTAGGAGGAAATTTAAAAAGAAAAAATATGTGTGTGTGCTTGTGCTATACATGTGTAGCACATAAAGTATACATAGTAAGTACATGTATAGAAGAGTCCCACCAAACTGCTGACGTGATTCGTTTTGCAGAAGGGCATGCATTCACTACGTGTATGGCATCGATTGGCATACGCAGTGTCCGGGGATAGGAGGGCAGTGGTGGGGAACAGAAGGCAGACTTTCCCTGTAATATATATCTTTATATTTTTAATATTAGACAGGAAACATGAACTCCTGTAGTACCTGTGTCCCTCAAAACCATAAGGGAATGCATGCCTTCTGTTGCTTACATCACATCACTCTCTGAGCTCCAGTTCCATTTCGACCCTGAGCTCACTGGAGTGCCCTTGTTAGCAGGAATGGTGTGCCTGCGACTGGCTTTTCCTCTCTTCCTGTGACTTTATGGAGTCATCTGATTAATCTGAGCTTCATTTTTCTCCTTTGTGAAATAAGAGAGTTGAGCTAGTTGGTGTCCAAAGGCCCTCCCAGCACCAACACTTTACAAGTCTATCACTGGATCCCTTTGAGCTTTGAGACCTGGGAAGTCCTTCTAGGCAAATAGTGGTGTCCCTTTCCAGATCCTCCAGGGTCTTACCTGAAGTTTGTTTCCACTGAAGTAAAGTAACGGCTCAGAGACGGCGATGAACTGTACACATCTACAAGCTGAAACAAACAGGAACAAGTAAAACAAACATACACATTACTGCCGGGTTTTACTGCATGTCACCTGATAAGGCAAAACCACTCCTGGCCCAAGGGAAGTCCAGCTAGCTGGAAACTGACTTATTCAGAGACTCTGGGTCAAAAAGAAGAAAGAAATGGGTCTAGCTCCAATCAAAAGTCAAGTTCACACTCTCTTAAAAAAATCTCATAAGGATCACATGACTGGGCTGAGATTTCGACTTCTCTTATGTATTGCACTGACACGTCATGGCCTTAACATCAATGAGGGTGGCCCGCAGCCTGAGCCCACACAGAGCCGAGGACACGGGCAGGAGAGAACGCCGCAGTGGCTGGGAAGACAGCAGAAAGGCCACTCAGCTCTTCTCTCCTTTCTCCAGAGCTTCAATGTAAGAAGAAACACCCATTTGAAGCCACAGGTAGGACACTTTCCCCTGGAAAATGGGACCAAGTGGGAATGGTGTATAACCACAAAAACAGTGGAGTTCTTATTTTATGGTAAAATGTGCAGACTGAGCTAGAGCCCAGTGAGCTAATTACCAGAGTCGGGCACAGAAGCTAGTTAGAAAACAGCTTCCAGAATAAGAGAAGTACCTCCCCTAGGTTATCAGAGGCACCATGCTTAACTCTTGCATCAGGCATACACACACAGCTACTGGGATGGCTTTAGCAGAGTAATGGCCCTACTGTAAGAGAACACTGGCAGTGAGGTATGAGAGGGGCTAGGAAACTGTGTTCACGAAAACAAGACAATAAAGCAAAAGAGAGGACACAGTATTCCAACACCCACTCCCATTTACCTTCCATATCCAGAAACTTTAGGAAACTGTCCTAACTGAAAGAAAGGGGGGCTCTCAACTGACAATAAAACAGAGATATCTCCAAGTTCCTTATTTTTGTTGGGAAGCTGGGGACCAGAAGTCTCTTTCACTTCACTGCACCTTACTTTTATCATACGCAAATCATTCTTTAAAAATTTTTACAAGGTTCTTTATATGCATCTCATATGCACCTGTAAGTACACAGGGAGAGCACAGTGATTCCCACTGACCAGGCAGAAAGCAGCTCAAAGGCCCAGGAATCACTGCCAGGCCCTTTACCACTACACAGCGATGATGCACCACCAACACCCATGGGATCCGCTCATGTCTAGCTCTGCGCGAGAGATGCAGGTCTCAGGTAAATAATTAACATCCATGTCACTCTGACATGGAGAGTCTAGAGTGTAACAGGTGACATGCGTGGCTGCTGATTTGCTTCATTTCTGCTCATCAAATACAAAACCCCTCAATGGAAAAGCAACCCAGAGGAAAGCAGCAAGGGGCTCTTTACTCTGCTACTTGCTCTGGAAGCAGCTGGAAGGAAAGGAGGAAAAGGGAACTGCAGAAAAGACATGAACAAGGGAAAGGGAGAAGAGAAATGGAAATAATCTTCCCAGAGTACAAACTCTTGTGATCAAAAAATTGATCACTGTGAGGCACTTGGGTACTCGGAATGGACTCGGCGTGACTGAGATGGAATCGCCTCCTCCGGGAGCTTTGGCAGGAACCAAACAGAAATCAAACAGAGGACTCACTCCATTCAACCTATCACTGCACAGAAAAGTGCAGTGGACATCAGGCTAGCCTTGCTTAGATTTCCTTATCAAAAAGTTTTGGGTCTGGCTGTGAACCACCCTGTCTTTCACAGGATGACCAGGACTTCCCCAGCCAACCTTCATGGTCTGGCTACAGAGCACATGTATTTCACAGAGGGCGTATTCTCCTGAATTTCCCACTCCATTAATCATGCCATATTCACCCATAGAGCCACCCAACCAAGAGCCTGGAATCATGATCCCCCTCGCTCCCGCACCCAACTAGCCATTAATCCTATTGAGTGAGAAGACCTCTTAAATCTCACTTGAATCTTTCTTCTTCCCCCGATATTACCCTAGTTCAAGGTTCCCTCATTTGCCGTCTGAACTACTATAATACCTTCTAATTACACTCTACCTCTAGTGCCTTTTCACCATTGAAATGAAAGTTGACCATATCAACCTGCAGATTAAAATATCTTAGTGCTTTCACAAAGAGTAGGAAAACCTTCAGGATCTGACCCTCCCTGCCGGTTCAGCCTCACCTCTGCAAGTCCCCACCACAGAGCATGTGGAATCCATAGTACACTGCTGAGCAGACTCCCATCCAGAGTATCACTTCCTCCAGGAGGCCTTCCAAGCCTCCATCCCCACCTCAGGGAGTCTAAATGCCTCATCTTTGTGGTTGCAAAACACATACGTTTGCCAAGCAAAACATGTTCTCAACAATAGAATATATCACACCATCTTATACTATCTATTTATTCACTTCCTCTCCTTGGGCTGTGAGCCCCTACTAGCAGCACAGAGTCTGTGGCCCTGGCACTTGGCATGTTGTCTCGCACATTATAGATCCTCAATGAAACTGTAAATTAACTCAAATGTAAGAGCAGAGTGAAGAAACAGAACACTTCCCTCCCTCCAGGACGCATTTAGCTGGAGACCAGGGCTCTGCTCTCTGGCTTTGCACAATAGAAAATCCATTTGTAAGTGTCTATTTCCGCCAAAAACCAAGCTTGAAGCTACTTATTCTGTAGCTCTAGGCCAACTGTTGTAACAGAGTTCATATTCCCAATGGTAAGAACTCAGTGAACGGTGCATAAGGTCCATTACCCTTTTCTGGAGCAGGTGAGGCAATTCCTCTTCAGTGACACACTCCTCTGGAATCTTTAGTGTGACCAAGAATGTCTTATTTGATGATAACTCAAGTATTTCATTTTCATCTTCATCGATGTAAGTTACTAAAGAGAGTGGAAGATGGAAACAAAAGGTAAACATACCTACAAAATAATAAACTTATTTTACTTTAAAAAGGAACAAAACCAAACCAAGCAAACAAACAAACAAAATGACGGCCATTCATCAAAGACAAAGCCTGGTGAGAGAAAGCAAGTATGAACAGAAATGCTCTCTCCTCTTGAAAAAAAAACAAATAAAGACAGGGGCTTCCCTCCATCATGATAAAATTTTATTTGTTTCATGCCCTAAGGGGTCTCAGATTCCACTGAATATAAAGGGGGGAATGGCTAGAGGGATGGAGTGGGAAGAATACACATTTTTGTGTTAAACTGGACCTGCAGCTTAGCTCTGCACACAGATGTCAAGTTGGGTGCTGGGGGACAGTCGGGGCAGGAGTTACAAACAATGGGGGATGGGAGACAGGGAGTGGGCACAATGAACCATCATCCACCAGACAGAGGGGACTTGCATGTGAGCATGTGAGCCTGTGTCTTGAAATCTTCCAGGGAGACTCGGGACGGGCATGAAGTCATCACTCAAGAGCATGTCTCACAGAAGGAACGATGACACACTCTGTCTGCAGAAGGGAAACCAAACTGCACTGAGAGCCCCATGCTGCAGCACCCACATTCCTGGGACAATGAGTTCTGTGTGGCTGCTTGGCTGTAGTGACTGAGCTCATTGATTTGTATGCAGTTAGAGCTAAAGGAAAAACACACAGAGTCAGGAGCCGGCGGGTAGAAGCTGGCACTCCCAGTCCTAATTACACACCAAGTTTCCCTCAGCCTCACCAGCTGAGCCCACGCACAGACCACCTCTCTGGCCTGAGAAAGGTGTGGGTGGGCAGACCCAGGTGTTCGAGTGCTCGTAGACATTTCTGTCCGATTCCAGGCTTCAAACTTGGCAAAGACCATAGTGGAATCAATTCAGTATTTCCGTTAGAAGGGCACGTGAAAAGAAGTAAAAATTCTGGCACTCATTCCCCAATGAAATCTGGAAACGGGAAGGCTGAGGAGCAAGGGAATGCACAGAGGACTTGGCGGAGCAGGCGGAGACTGCCAGCTTGTAAAGGCCCAGCTGCTCCAGGCTGGCTTGGCCAGTCTCTGGGAACTTGAGTCTCAGAAGGGTTCCCACAGTTCCCTGAAAAGTGTGGCTCACTGTGCCGCAACTCTGTACAAACAACATGTTATGCTGACATCTCCTTTCCTTTTGAAAGTCTGGAATGTTAGTATGTGACAGGCATAAGCTGCCTATATGACCCGCCCCTATAAAACCTGGACACTGAGTCTCTCTCTAATGAACTTCCCTAGAGGAAAGATTTCACACATGTTTGGCACAACTAATTGCGAGAGGAATTAAGTGTGTCCTACGGGACAGCACCAGGAGAGGACTCCTGGGAGCCTGTGCCTAATTTCTTCTGGATTTCTCTTAATATCCTTTCACTATGATAAATCGTAGTCATCTCTGCTACTCAGTGCTCAGTCCTGTAAGCCTTCCCATGATCACTGAATCTAGAGGTGATCTTGGAGATCAAAAAACACATGGGATTATCCCTGCATCCTTATTTGTTGTAAGTCATTACATTATTTTGCCTGACAATGGCAGAAAACTTGCAAAGCATAGGAAATTGTAGCAAAGCAAGATATTAACAAGTTTTTAATTAAACCCCCCAACCCCCCGTATTTTGTATTATATAATTGAGGTCTTAATGAAAAGGTTATTTGTATCCTGCTTTGTTGTTTGTCTTCATTCATTTGTTGTTGTTAACATATCAAAAGCCATTCCCCATGTGTTTGAAATTCCTTGAAAAGATTACTTTAATGGCTGCATAATGTTCATAACTGGCTTGCTCACTTTTTGAAATCTTTTAGTGTTTTCAGATTTCACTGCTATAAATAATGCTGCAATGGATATCTTTGAGCTCTACATCCACTACATACATTTCCAAAGTAGATATCATTGCCTGGAAAAGGAAAAGAGGAAGCCAGAGCATGGATACCAAATTTACGTAACTGCTGAACTCAGGGCCCCGAGAAGAGATGACAAGTTTGAAAAGAAATCTCCAATAACAGTTTCAATGACATATGTTTAACTTGTATTATTGAGTAATGAATCTGTCCCAAGACATGGCCAAATAGTTGTGTTTGTTAAAATAAACAACAATAACCATGGGTTTACCTAGTCAGCTAATGTTTTAGTGAGACCTCATCTGGGAAGCATTTTCCATGTAGAGAAAATGTGTTTTTAAAAAAATCTTAAACATGTAAAATACATTGCAGGCATTGCAGGTACACAAAATCAGCTCTTTGGCTAGAATATAAGAAATGAGGTGGAAGAGGGAGGCCTTAAATGCCGGATGTCTAGTGAGGTACTGGAGATTGTGCAATGTCTCACAGGAAGGAGTGGAGGTAAATCTGGTGGTGATGGATGGGATGAAAGGGAACCAGGAGAGAGTGGAGGCAGAGAGGCCCATAGGTGCCAAATTGGGAGAGGTTTTGATTGACAAAGTAGGAAGCACAAGGAAGGAAGAAAGGGAGTAAGGGAAGGAGAGGGGTGGGGGAGGATGGGAAGAAAAAGCCCAGGACAGTGGGACTAGAGCTGACTTCAAAGGTACCCAAACTTAATTTGAATCTCTGCCCAGCTATTTATTAGCCATGTGATCTGAGCAAATCACTTAAATGAACTCTGAGGCTGTTTCTGCAACAGAAACATCAATACCAACATTGTAAGTGATGATGAACTTGAGAACCAACATGTATAAAGTATGTGGCATGGTGCCATGCAGTAACTGGGTAGTCGTGACAAAAGTTGCCAAGAAAACACTACGAAGGAATGATTGATAAAACTTGGTCACTACCTAGATATGGAAGAGGAGAAGAAATAAAAAAATGTTCCAAAGTATCAAGCCTGGGTAACAGGAAGAGTGATGGCTACTACATAAAGCATTATGTGCAGACACTCCTACAACACTTGTAGATATCACCTCGTGTAACTCTCACATCAACCCTGTGAGTTAAATATCAATGTTTTCATTTTAAAATAAAGACATTGAGGCTTAGAGAAAAGGCATAAGTTGTTCAGGTAGATTATGCTACTCAGTAGTAGGGCTGAGTACATTTGTAGATTCGGGTTCAGAATCATTTATATTTTACCAGTGTGGAAACTGAGGTCAAGTGGGTTGAAGAATTCACCTGAATTCACACAACTGGATGGTGGCAGGGCTGGGATAAACCTGGTCTCATGATTCACTGTGAAACTACAAAGGGTCAGCTTACTGGGAAAGAGGATACACGTGAATTGTTGTTTCCCATGCATAACGGTGGAGAAAGTGATAGTTATTTTCAGGTAAAGATGTCCGGCAAAATGTAAGACTAAAACTCAGGAAAAGTGTGTGGATGAGGACCTAGGCGTCCCCTCCAAAAGGAGATGGCTATTAACGGAGGAGCAAATGAGCTCCTAAAGGGGACAGTGAAAAATACAAAAGATAAGACAGCTGCATAGAAGCCTCATGTACCACATGTGAAGGCCAAAGGCAGAAATATCAGGAGACCCAAATAAAGTCTGAGAGTTCTGAGTACATCACAGTTAAGAGAGCCGAAGGCTGCAAATAGGTCAGGGGAAGGGAAAGGGGCCAATCACCAGATTTCAGGATCAAGCAATTGCCCGTGACCTTGGGAAGAACAATTTGGGATCAATGGGCACAAGTGGTTTAAGAATGCACAGGAGGCAAGATCCAAATGCAGATCTCTCTAGAAACTTGCCAGTGAAAGAAGAGAAAGAGAAAAAATACCTAAATGAAGTGGCAAGATTCTGATGAAAGACTGCTTTGAAGGAGAGATGGTGCTAGCACATTTGAAGAGGTCCAAGGTAAGAAGAGTCTGAGGATGCTTAGAGAGCGGGATCTGTCTCAAGGTGCACAGGTCAGAATAAGCTGGCAAGAACTCCGTGAAGAGCACAGGAGAATTGGTCAGTCTTGGGAAGGTGGTGAAACATATGCACCTTGAGGGAAAAAGGAACAGGTGAAAATGGAAAGAAATTTGAAAGTACTGGGCCTACAAAGTTGCTATTATGTTCCTGCCCCCATGGACCTTGGTAACTTAGAGCTTGCTAAGTCTGTCTGCCAAGGATTTTTCCATGAGTCACCCAACACCAGGGAGCCTTGCCCCGTGCAAACTGTCTGTTTGCCAAGACCTGTGATATTATAAAATGGAGCTCTTTTTTCCAACTCACAGGCAAAAAAATCCATTCAATACAGCATTACTTGGAAAGTCCCCGCTTACATCTTGGTACCAGAGTGTCTACTCACGGAGAAGCCTGTGCGTTAGAGAGCAAAGGGCTCAGACAGACATCCTCAATGCTGTGGGATATCACATAGGGATTCCTAGCATTTAAATCATATTTCTAAGCATCCACTTACTTGTTACAGCTTGATCTTTACAACACTTACAATATTTTGCCCAAACGAAGGAAGGTTTCATTAGTAGGGAGTTACTCAGCATCTCTCTCCTCCCTGGTTGGGGCAAATTAGTTAAGAAAACAGAACCCTTGAGGATGCTTAACTGATTCTTCAAATTAACCAGAAAGGAGATGATTTAGAGAGAGGAAGCCTTTTCCCCTTTTAGTTTTCACACGGAGGAATTGATCATTCCTTAGGGAGAAGGCGAGAATCCATTACTAACCTTTTCCCTCAAGACCTGTGAATTCAATAGGATTTCCTGGGCCCTGCTAATGAAATTCTCCATTTAAAATGATTTCATTGTCTACTGGGAGCCTGTGAGTGTGCTAGGTTCTCCTTCACAATGTGTACAGCCTGGCTCAGCACCTTAAACTGAGCTATAACCCTGAATTTGCCATTACTTCAATGGCATGCCACCAGCAGGGTGGCAGGAGGGCCCACCCCATGTGCAGACAATAAGGGGTGCACAATTTACAGAGGAAATAATAATAAAACCAACCACAGGTTTCTCTGCTTGCATTATTAACAATGTCAGTGACAAGACACACCTCCCCACTGGGCACCTCACCCTGGGTACTCCATTGTCTCTTCCCTGGCTAATTATCCGTTGCATTCTGGGATGCATATACTGTCCCCTTCTGGGTCCATTCCAGCTCCAAAGTTACTAACTCCTCTGCAACTGAACCTCAGTCTGAGAACTACAGAGCCCTGAGACATGAGATTGAGAAGTAGAGAGGAAGGGAAGGAAGAGGCGAATGGCAAATGTACTCTTGGGGAAACAAACTTCTCAGTGAACCCAGATGGCCCCAGGTACAGCCCTTGGCACTCCCAGCAATGCCCTTTTCCCACACGGCAGCATTTTCTACACAGTGCCCAGAAGTTCCACAAATATTTGATTCCTATCAGTGGGCTTGGTAACTAGGCAACAGCTGATTATCACAGACTGACATCCCAGAAGTGCCTACAGAGGTGAAGCTGAGTGAAGCTGAGACTGTCACAGAGGGCAGCCCTGCTGCTGCCCCATTTGTACCTGCTGCACCCCCCCCCCACCCATCATGCCTCTCCCACAGGCCCAAACCCCTGAGGGCGGAGGTGCCAAGTAAAATAAAAGTATTTCCCTGATTTAAAAAAAAAGTAAAAGTTTGGGATTTTTCCTTTTCTTTTCCTTCCACTATCTCCTTCAAGCCTAAACTCGAGCTAGTTGTCCACCAGCCTAGCATCATTTTCCCCATTGCCCTTGGCAATACTGACATGCAAAAACAGTTGAAGCATATGATATTCTCATTAAACAAGAAGCCAAAGAAAAAGAAGAAATAGATGCAAAAGCAGAAGAAGATTTCAACTATGAGAAAGGCCATCCTGTGAAAACCCAGAGACTAAAGATTATGGAATACCATGAGTAGAAAGAAAAGCAGACAGAGCAGCAGAAAAAAAATTCCTACACCCAACCTGATGAATTAAGCAAGACTCAAAATCCCCAGAGTGAGAGATGACCTTGTTATATACCCACTAAATGAAGCAAATCAGAGACTTGGCAAGGTGGTAAAAGATACAACCAGGCACCAAGTACTGCTGAATGGACTGGTCCTCCAGGGTATGTGCCAGTTATTGGAGCCCCAGATGATTGTTTGTTGCTGGAGACAGGAGCAATCCTGGAAACAGGATTTCCTGCTGATAAAGGCTGCAGTGCAAAGAGCTATCCTTATGTACAAAACAGCCACCACAAATATGTTGATGTCCAAACTGATCAGGAGGCCTACCTGCCTGAGAAGATAGCTGGTAGAGTTGAGATCTATAATGAGAATTGTAAAATAAAGGTTTCCAACACCCCAGAAAGCCAGCTAGATCTCATAGTTCAGCAGACGATGCCAGAAGTACAAGGAACCTTGTTTGGTATAAATGCCAAGAAGTTGTTGAACTAAGCCTTTAGGAGGTAGAGTTTATGTACTGCTATGATGTGGAAGTTTCTGATATCTGGAGAAACAAAATTATCTATAAAGCTTCCTCTTTGCCGTTCTAATATTCTGCATTTATCAGTGGATATCCTTCTGCACTAATACCTTTAGCCTAATTGTTAACAATGGGAGAAAGTTTCATTCTACATGATCAGGAAATCTACCTCTAGCTAATCTAGAAGTAACACAACTTATAGTTGGTTCTGGATCATGAAGGTGAAGAAATTAGGTGGTGATTGCATGGACTTCTGCTCTTCCTCTGCTTCCAGTTATCTAGTCTAGAGGCTATGCGTATGGTGTTCTCTGCCATTGAGTCTGCTCTTTAGGCTGAACATACATGCAGGGCATGCGTTCCTTCCAGCAGTAGTAGCTCCACTGTTACTTGTTTGGGCCTAGAAAGGTTCCTCATCTATAAATGTGATATAAAATCCAAGCCATAATGCTTTATTTATAAAAACAAAAGGCTTATGTGAAAAATAGTAAAATAAAATAAAAATAAATTTGTTTAAAAAGTAAAAGTTTTAAAATTTCTCTTACAGCATTAACTTTTTAGTAAGACAATTTTCTAACCAACAGAAAATGATGTTTGCACTACAAGTCTTAAAAAGTTCTTTCCTGAGTATCCTTGTGGACTTTGATGTTCCCCGAGAAACTGTTGAGGGAAATGGAATGCCGTCCTCGGCAGATTGCCCTTTGCAAGTTGAAGGGGCAGGATAACCTTTGATAATGGAGGACAGCTCTTGAGTCTAGTGCTTCAGAATCCTGAATATTAAAGCACCTAGATCTGTTGCATCATCTTTTGTCATAGGGCCCAGATGCCAACAGGCGAATTCATCAACTTTTAGGTTGGCACCCACCGGCTGTGATAGAACGAGACTGTGTGACTCAGCTACAGTTTCCACATCCACATGTGGGAGTTGAAGGGAAGAGGGAGTATCAATGCTCACACAAAAACTACAGTCCTCAGCATGATGGGGAGGTTTAGCAACTCTTATTAACTTCTCCCCACCTCAAAACCAGCCCATGGCCTCAAAGAATCACCCATCCCACCTCAACAGCATCCTAAGGAAGTAAACACAGAGCCTGCCAGAGAAACTCATATGCTGCCAGCGTGAGGTTGGCGCATGTTATCAGTGCTTTCCTGTTCCTTCAGGAGCATAACACTTAAAGAGAGCAGCTGAAGGGGTCGGGAGAGGGAGAGGTCATAGGAGGTGCATAGCAAATGCAGTTCCTGAGGAAAATTCCCAGGGCCCCCTCTGGAGAGACTCAGGAGCTCCCCTTCTTGCTCTCATTGTATGCCTGGGTTATCTGTGGAGTCTGACTCAACCCCAATCGTATCAGGACTTACCCTCAAGAGCACCCCAGCTCCAGAAGAGCCCCCCATAATCACTCCCACATACACACAAAATCAGTTTTCTTCCTTCCCATTTTGAAATTGAAATGATTGCCCACTGGAGGGTACTATTTTTATGCATCATAAAAACCTTAATATTGATAATCATAAAAAGTTGATAACAACCTAAAAAGCTTTACAATGATGGGGAAGACTACTGCATGAGGTCATTGAACAATGAAGCTTTTAGACTTATTGAGGTGATCATTTCACTGTATACAAATACTGAATCATATCACACACCTGAAACTAATAGAGTGTTACATCTCACTGATACTTCAATTTTAAAAAATGTTTTTAAGATGCTGACAAATAATTTTTAATAAATTTGCAAAATGATCTTAAAATAACTAAAATCTTATGAAATAAGTAGGTCACGAGACTACAAAATAGTATGACCCCAAATTATTTTTAAAATGCAAGTGACAAAAAGAAAATATAACAAAACATTAATAATATGAATGAGATTTATGAGTAACAACATGAAGTTTTTATATTCATAGTAACTAATTTTAAAATGAGATAATGTTTGTAAAATATATACTTAGCATCATATTAAGTTTTTGTTTTGTATATATATATATATACAACATAAATATAATAAAGTTATTTCCAAAATAAGTTCAAATAATGACAACTTACATGTACACAATTATACAAAGTTTTTAAAACTTTCAAATATATTATTCGTTATTGAATAACAACAATTATTAATTCATTACTGAAAGTACAACAATCACTTTCACCAAATAAACTATAAGGAAAAAGTCAAACAAGAAGGTTTAGAGATATAAAAAATATAAATTAGTGTTTAAATAAGTTTAAAATTTAAGAAATCTTCAGGATCCAATAGGCAGAGTTTAAAGTAAAACAGTGGTGTTCCTACTACTTCAGGGGCTTAAAAAGTGAACAACAAACAAGAATCATATATCTCTCTCACCCACACAACATATTCCAAACCAGTTTTAAACTCAAATTATAAATAATGAAATAGCAATGAGTACATACACCACTTTGGCGTAAGTCATAAGCTTTATACAAGTTGTCTTAAAATTCATCGGCTTAGACCTAAGTTCTCTTACCTTTCATAAGACACAAGCTTATGATGATCATTATAATGAGACCTACGAAAATGGAGAGGATAGCCATCCACAGTTTACACTTTCCGAACAATTTCCTATTGCAGGAGCTCCAAGGGCTTTTCTGCTTAGCCTGAAAAGCAGAGGGAGACTGTGAGGTGATCATCTGGTTTCAATGAGCATGTTTGAGTACTTAGTATGGACAGTGATACAGGAGTGAAGGCAGCAGACCCTGACCTCAAGGGACTACATTCTACTGAATCACATTTACAAATGGGTGGAAAGGAACTTCACGAAAGTTAACATGAAAATGGCCTAGGGGCTCAGAGGTGTGGGTGGGGTGGGGTGGGGGTGGAGAAGCAGGATTTTGAAGGATAGGGAGAGGAAAGTATTCCAAACTCAGGAAAGAGCATCCTTGGTGTTGATTCATGATGTAAATGTCCAAGAGATTCATAGGGTTGATTTTCGGGTTTTTGAGTTTCAGGAGCAAGTCATGAGAGTGAAGATTAGAAAGAGTGGAAGGTTGGTGCACATTTGAGAGGGTTTTGAATGTTGCCAGAACAGTTTGAACTTTACCGGTGTGTACTGGGAACCTGACGAAGGTTCTGAAACACAAAATCTGGATTAAAGATTCAAAGAAAGGTGATGAGTAGTTTAGGGTGACTTAGCTTCAAGAAAAAGCTAAGAAGCTCCTGCGGTGACCCCAACTCTATGAAATAAGGGCCTGGGCAGGGAAGGGAAAGACAGGAGAGACACCAGGAAATAAGCTGTAATGGACCTAGTGATTCACAGTGTGGGTCAAATAAAATAATTACAACCAACACCATTTCACTTCATCCTAACAGCCCTCCAAGGGAGGCTTTAGCCCATTTCAAAGATGCAATTCAGAGACAATGACCAGGACTAACCCCTGCTGTGTGTCACTGCAAAGCTGGGGTGCTTTCTGCCTGGTCCACAACCTCCCTGTGTCACTGTGCAGAGCTCCAGGCTGCAAACAAGCCTGGCTGCCATGGGCTGACCTCACTCCCAGCATGTCCACCTGCTCCTAGAGTTCCCCTGGCCCTTCTCCTATTTCCCACTGGGCCATTAGGTGATTTCCACATGGGCACCATGGGAAATAATGGGAAATGAAGCAGGGAAAGTGTGTTTCTGTATCAGAATTCCAACCCTATTTATACCACTTAAAGTCAAAGTGACCATCAGCAAGCTCCTAAAACTCCCAGCCCCAATGCCCTCAACTAATAAATGCCCCCAATAATAAATGTAGTTCACGGGGATGTTGTAAAAACTAAAGATCACATATATGAGGCACTTGCTAAACAAATATCAGGACCTCAACAAATGGGCACAATCATTACTGAGTGTTCACCTGCCCCACAAAGCAAGTGCAGGCACTGCCAGACGCTCGCTCTCAAATTAACCGACAGCTTTCTCAGTTTCTCTCCCATCATGATTCTGGTGGTTGCCATCAGAAAAGAAAACTGTTTGCCCTGCTGGAACTGTTTGTGCAGTTCAGACATTCTTGATGAGAGGTTCCCAAGCATGGCTGCACTCAGAAGCACCTGAGGAGCAATTTAAACTACAGAGACCAGGGTCCTACCTGGGCCTAGGGGGCTAGATCAGAGGGAGGTGGGGGCAGGCCCCAGTTTATAATTTTAAACTTCCCACAGTAAATCAATTGCTTTTACCAGGGTTGAGACCTCTGGTCTGAGGCCTTCTCACTCTTCAGGGACTAGGTTAAATTTGTCCTTTTGTGGCAACCTCCCCACCACGGCACCCATGGAGAGATGTCCCAGCATGTGCACTGTCCACACAACTCATCTGCCGCTTCCTTGTCTGGTGTCATGTTCAAATACAGATAATGGCCTTGTCTCCTTAGGTAAAGCGAAACCACAGTGAGGGAAGGGTGGTTCTTAAACTTACCCATTCTTACACCCCACTCTTGTGCCCCATACAGATAACAGGCACTTAATAAATTGTTGCTGAGTTACAGAGGGCTCCAACAATTTTAAGAATGTACTCTAAGAAATTCCAGAGTAGAGGTAGGTCACACTTTGGAGCACCTGAGTGCACTCTGTGCCGACTCTTTGGATTGGGTGTGAGGGAGCAATAGATGCCCTGGGACCATCTGGACAGAGGAAAACCCTCATGAGCTGTTTCTAGGGTCCAGAGACAGAGCCATATCTCATCTTCACCCAAAGACAAAGACAGACAACTGGTCCAAAGTCACCAAAGGCAAGGGCTCAACAAGGCACATGGGAAAAAGCCACAGGACAAGGACCCTTGAACTTTTCAGGGGACAGCAATATATCTTCCTATTTACAGAGTTCCCAAGACATGAGTCATAGTTCTGATATAAGAGGCAGCCAGGATCATAAAGACTAGTACAAAATGGTCCCAAGTCTCAAAGGAGTCATAGAACAAGCATCAATACACCTCTTCAGTATCTTGTGCCTTCACTTACGCTGTCCCTTAGAGGTGATAAATCTAGGACCCCAGTGGTTTGAAACCACTTCCTGGAGAAGTCAGCTCAGAATTTCACAGCCCTCATCTGTAGGGAATGCCTCTTCCTGTCCAGCCCTAAGCTTCCACCCTACAGCCTGGCCCCCTGCCCTGTCCGTCACCAACCCTAAGGCAGATAGATACACACCACTGTCCCTTGCATGATTAATCTTTACAGAATTTAAGTTGCTATAAAACAGTCTGTCAGCCATTCCCAACCTGACACTAGAGTCCAGTGTTTCTCAGCTGCCTGAACATTAGAATCATCCCAGGAATTAGTATTTTTTGGAAGTGCCCCCAGGAGAGTCCACTGTGCCTGAGGGTGGAGAGTCTCTGATGCAGTAGGTGTGCACTACCTGTGCTATCCGAGTCTCCCCTCAAAACTGGATCACGAAGACGCACTGCCTCCTTCACTGGCTGCTTCACCCTCTTTTGCCCAAATTTTAGGTCATGATGAGAAGCCACAGGCAGGTAGGTTCTTCTAGAAGGTGCCTTGGAGTTTTTTGCAAACTGCATCTTACTCTCCATGATTGCACTAAGTGACTCGAGAATTTGTGTGGCTTTCCTCTGAATGTCCCCCAGACATTCGCATCCCTCTAGAGATACGAGTGCAAACACAGGACAAAGGTCCTTCAACGACGGCAGGACCGCCTATCTCTTAGACACAAGAAGCTTTTCTTCTCTTTGGCTGAACCAGGGACAGATATTACATGGATCTAGAACAATTTTCTTAGCACATAGGAAAATCTGTACTTTGAAATCTCCCTTGCAGGACTGAACCCACTTGTTGATCCAAGCACAAAAGCCAGTTGATTCTTGTCCTAAATTCTGAACAACTCATTGAATCTGAATCCTGTGCTTGTGCTACCCAGCATTTAAGAACTCTACATTAATTGACTTTTCAATTTAAAATACACTTCAACTTACTCCATAGAACCAAAGAGAAAGATTAACACATTAGATAAAGTTTTTTTTCTCTTTTTTCCCCTTTTAAAAAGTTTTTTCCATTCAAGCATTTCTAGAATGCCCTTCAAGACCTCATGAACCCTTCACCTTCATGCCATTCTGTCACTCAACACAAGTTTCCTATTCAGTGACCTACAAAGCAATTCACAAGGAACTCTAGGATATTTGCATATACCTGAGTCAGGAGGAAGTAATTAGAACATGTAAGAGCAATCTATACTAAGCAGGTACTAAACAATTGTAAAATGCTGATGCCCTACATGTGTTTAGCATTTTCTCCTACCCCACTGTTTTCATCAAGACATAGCCAGGCCTCACGGAGACAGTACATTCCACCGTGGGACAGCTGGGAAAATACAGACCTTAATGCCTTGCCCCAGGACACATCTTTTAGTGGTGAAGCTGTCACCAGGATCTCTGGCTTTGGTCCCAAACCATGAAGTCTTTGGGGTGTCTTGGGTCTATCTAACATGAGGCAGCATTCCCAGTTAGCATTCCTACACACTTCCTTGGAGGACTGATAGAGCAAGCCCACAGTTGTGGCCATTTGCACAAGGATTAGACCATCTTCCTCCAACTTTCATTCTTCTGTAGTGTTCATCTGTCACTCGAATATAAGGAACCAAGTTACTCTCCAGGTTACCTGTAGGTCTACAAAAGCAGACTTCACAATATTTCCAGGAATCAATGTGAAAGCAAAATCAATGCTTTCACTGTTGGAATTTCCTGCTTATTCCCGAAAAGGACAGTTGAGCAGCCAAAGGGTGGTAGAGGAGGAGTGGAGTAGAAGTATCAGGATGGAACCATGTATATGGGGAGTTCCATGTACCCAGTAAAACTCAAGCCAGCCTTAGAGGTTCATCACAAGCTACAAGGCTGCGTATTCAAAGTCTCTGCTGTTTTACAAGCATTTGATGAGAATGAGTAATGCTCCCGTCACTGCTACAGCTTAGAGAAAGGAGTTCAGCCAAAACATTACCAAAGACTTCCTTAGAGATTGAGTTGAGGTTGAAGCAAATGAGGCACAGCTTGGTTCTTTGGGACTAAAACTTTTAAATTATTTCTCTTCAGCTGAGCAGGATATTTTCATAGCGTCCCCCCAACCCTTCTCGTTCTTGCTGCTGTTTCCCCTCTCGCCATCCCTCTTTTGCTGTGAAATCAAGTGGCTACACTGGTTAAAGACAGCAAGTGGGTGTTTAGCAGGTGTGCGCCAGGCTGGCGGTGGTGGACGGTGGGTGAGAGGAGCGCGGTGGGAGGGAGCGGCAAGGTAGTAAAAAGGGAAGCCAACAAATTCTGAAGACAAGGAGAAGATGCCGTCTATCATTCTAGTTCTATTTGACTAAAAAGAAAAAACTGAATTAAAAGATACAGGACTTTTTAAAAATCACCTCTTTCTCTAGGGATTCTCTCTCGGAAGAGAGGAGCCACGCACCTCCTCGGTAGGATTCTTCCAAGTTCCACGGGCGGAGAGCTGAGAGGGGCCTGGGGCAGGCTCAGGCTGGAGGCGTTCCGGTGTCGCTCCGCTGAGAACTTTGGAGCGCGCACCACCCGTGCTTAGTGTCGGTGGCGCTGAGAGAATGGGCTGGAAACCCGACACTGCGGGTGCCAGGCTCGGGTCTTGGCAGGGAGCCCGGATCCGGGTGCGCTCGGGAGACCCAGCCCGCGCCCAGAGACCTTACCTCGGCTGGACTTGGCTCCTCGGCCGGGAAAGGGATGATCTGGACGGCTCCATTGAGAGGCGTCCGCTCGTCTGGCTGCCTCTGGACTTCCGAGAGCTCCAGCTCGTCTCCGGGCGAGGGGACCCTGGCTCCTTCCATGGACTGCAGAGCGCGACGACACAGGCTGCGGGGAAACTGGCAGCACATACCCGAGGGTGCGAAGTCCAAAGCTTGCCTCCCGGGTGGCTCACTCTCCGCCCCGGGCGGGTGGGACACGGGGCAGGACGGGGCTGCGGGCGGGGCCGCGAGCACCTGAGCAGAGGAGAGGAGGGCTGTTTTTCTGGTTTGTTCAGGGCGCAGCCTGCACTGCGGTTCCCTGAGCTTGCTGATAGGAAGCCGAAGCTGAGCCGACGGGCTGGCTGGCTGGCTGCAGGGCTGAGACACGGATGGCCTGGCAGCGCCGTGCCGCCGAAGAAAGTTGGCATTCCACCGCCAGGAGCTGTCTGTTTCTGGGACGTGACCCAGCTTTCGCTGCCTAGCAAAAGTTCGTTCCTTTAATCAACAAATAACTATGAAGCAGCATTTGCTGCCGGCATCGTGCGAGGTCCTGAGCATATGAAGATGAATAGTAATGTACAAGAACACACTCCTGCCTTTTTTAAGTCCAGGGGCAGGCAAAGACCGTGTCCGTGGTGGAGGGGACAGCTGGCCCTGGAGCCAGACTGCCCAAGTGACTTCCCTCTCACAGGGCTCCTCACTGTGAGACCTTGGGCGTCAGTGTCCTGATCTGGAAAGTTGGCATAATATTAGTACCCACCTAATGGAGTTGTTGCCAGAGTTCAAGGAGTAGATGGATGTCAGTGAAACAGTCAGAACAATGACTGACACATAGTGAATATTCATAAATACTGTCTATTATTTTCTACATTTGGAAACAGGAATAACAGACAGCCCCACAACCACATACATGCCCCTACACACCTTGGGGAGAAAGTATACATACCCACACACAATCCATAGTTCACAACTTCTGGTTTCAGGACCCTGGAATTATGTTTGCTAAGCTGGGCATGTACTGATTCTGTCCAGCTGCAGTTGAGAGCAGGTTTGCCTCCCTGCTTCCCACCCCTGCCCCCAACACACACATTGAGAGCAGCTTGAGGTGTGGACAGGATGCATATAAACAAGCTCCACTTCAGAAGATGTTGACCTGTGTCCATAAAGTCTGGCACCCTCACTGTCTGTTCAGACACTGCCTGGATATTAGGTCTCTAGCTGTCTAGTACCTGCTTCCAGGTCATCTGGACTTTAGACTCACTCCATCTGCCTGCTGGATAGGGCCCTGCTGATTGCAGTCACTCAGCTGCTGGCCTGCCCTGACTTCTGCTTTCTCTGCTTTTTTATATTAGAGGCAGATCCTGCAAGAATCGACTACATTCTCAGCCGGGAATTTTTTTTTATGAAGGAGCAGGGTTAAAGAAACCAAGAAGGGGTGTTGAGGCACCTAAGGAGTAGCACCAGCAGAAAGCCATCATCACCCTGAGGCCTTACTGGACCACTGAGGAGACCCTCCTGATAGAATCTGTAGTCACAAAAGTTGCCACCACTGTCAGAACAGCAGCCAAGCAGAGAGGAATGAATATTCTCACCTCTCTCCTGAACTGCCAATCTGCTGCCTGAGACTCCTACTAGAAACTGGTGATTTAGACTGGGTTCTAGCCTCCTGGGATTCAGAGCACAGAATGAATCTGGGGTGCAAAAAGAGAAGACCCTGAAAGTATACCTTTCCCTGCAATGACTGACATATAGTCTCTCCTCTCAGACATTCAGTAGTCAGTAGACCCCTCTGGTCTGACTGGATTCCTCCTCCTGGCAGGCCCTTTCCCAGCCTATTTTATTGCCACCCCCACTTCTTTGTATGTGATGTTCACTCTGCTAGAAATGTTTGTCCTCCCACTCCAACCCACTTTCTGCGTGGACAACACCCATTTACCTTTGAATCCTAGCTGAAACACGGTTTTTCTACTAAACCTTCTCTGACTCCCCTCCTCCACCAAAAGTTATCCATACTCTTCTCTGCTACCAATACCTATTGTACTTGTGCTTAATATGCCACATATTTAGTCCAATTTAATTTAACAAGTGGTACTGCATGCTTGCTATGTGTCAAGCATTCTTCTGGATGCTTAGGTTATATATGAAGAGATAGGTGAATATAAATGAAGCTTATATTTAATGAGGGAATCAAACTTAATAAATAATGTTTCTAGAATGTTGGAAGGCAATGTGTGCTGTGGACAAAAAAGTAAATCAGAGTAACAGAGGCCAGAGTGCTGAGTTGTGAAGGTTGGGGGAAAGGAAAGAGTTGAGACTGTAAATAAGGCAATCGAGGTACACCTCATTAAGAAGGTGAAATAAGTCCTGGGGATGTAATGTACAGTGTGGTGACTATAATTAATAATACTGTATTGCATGTTTGAAAATTGCTAAGAAGCTTGAGAGCAGGATGACAGCTGGGGCTGTGGGTGAGGGACTGAGCAAAAAGGAAAAAGGACTCATGGACATGGACAATCGTGTGGTAATTGCAGTGAGGAGGACCGTGTAAGGGGACTAAATGGTAAGGGGAAAACATACCACAAAGGTTAAAAATAAAATATTTAAAATTTTTTTAAAGTTTTATTGTGAGAAAAAATTTGTACCTATGTATGGCGACAGATGTTAACTTGACTTACTGTGGTAATCATTTTATACAAATATCAATTACTTATCTTGTACACCTGATGCTAATGTAATGTTATGTATTAAATATGCCTTGTTTTTTTTAAAGGTGAAATTTGAACAGAGAGTTGAAGGTGGTAAGGGAGTTAGTCAGCTGCTCAGGTTGCAGAAAGAATAGGGAACTCCAGGACAAAGGGCCTGACACTGGAACCTGTTTGACTTTTACTCCTTGAGAATCAGGAAAGAGGCCAGAATGGCTAACGTAAAATATGACCAGTAAACTTTTTTTGTCTTTCTTCTTTATTGGTTAAACTTTGGAGGTATCTATGTGTACCAACTATTTAGCTCAACATCCAGCACAGTGTCCCCTATAAGTGTTGGTCAACTCAAATAATATTCTCAGCAGTGATGGTTTGCTAGGCCCAGGGCCCAAGACCCCAACTAGCAGCACCAAGACCTCTCAAACGTGACTCCCATCTTTCCCGGGGCCCAGATGACCTTTCTATTGGTTCCCTTGTTGACTGTGGGATCTCACCCTCAGTGGGAGATTCCCTGTCTTGTCCAATGGATTGCAGCTATCTTCCAAGCTATCTTTTCGTGTGGACAGATGCCTAAAATCATCTTCACTCCCCCAGAGGATCAAAAAGCTTTTTTTTCCTGTCACAAACACACTCAAAACTAGACCTCCTCATGCCTTCTAAGTGTGGCAAAACAAAGTTTGTGTGTTTTGTAACCTATACCACATTCCCAGAATTCCATGTGCCTAACTCCTGTACGCAGTTGGCATCCACAGAGTAGTATAGGTTTTGAAGATGGGCAGAGTTAGAACTCTCGCAATCCAGGTGTTCTTGGGCAAGGTGTTTAATGTGAAATTCTTGCCTCATTGCAAAATAAGTCCTACTCAGTAGAGTTAGGAGGATTAAATAAAGCAATTAAAGTAAAGCATTTATTACTGTGCCTGGCTATTAGCAGAGACTCAGTAAATATTCTCTTACTTTCCATGAGCATAAGTATCTTTGCAACTGATACTCACCCATGACCTTTAGCATCCAGCAATAACCCTTGATTCAATATATTTTCTTTCAATATTATTTTGTGTTAATGTCCTGCCATATTTTCTTGATCACAGATACTTGCTGACACCTCCCAATATTACCTGAACCTCTTAAATTCTTACTTGCAACCGGTTCCTGATTTCTTGTAACTGCAGATTTCTTCATCTTCAGACAGCTGACCTAGAATGTAGATGAGCATCCCAGCCTCCACGGGAGGACCTTTTTTTATCCTCCTAGGCTGGCTGCAAAGGAAGGATTCATAACAAACTAGAAAGGAATGTTTCTTCCTGGAGGTAGAACTGAGTTTAGGTTAAACAGTTCTTGATGAAAGTTAAGAATTAGTGAATGAGGAACCAAATTCTACTTGGATTTCTTTGTGCAATTTCTTCAAAATCTATTCCTATGGGGGTAGCTTTTTAAAGGAATTGCTCTTTCATAAATACTTCTTTAAACATCCTTTTTAAAAATGTAGTGTTCTTGCAAAATAATCATTTTTAATGTAATAAAATTATTTCTGACTTAATTTCTTTAGTTTGTTCAAGGAGTTAAATGTAAATAACATTAAAAAATTAAAACCTACTTGTTTCCAAGACTTGCAGACCAATATAAGATTTTCAATTTTGCTTTTCTTGTCATAGTATTTGCCCTTCTTTCTCTGCCCTCTTTAAGAGCAAATAATTTCCCAAATGATTATCTTATAACCCCCCCAAAAACTAACATCATCAAAGTGACATCACCAAAGCACCAAAGCATCTTATTACCTTCAAACAGATCTGTGCTCTTGAAAACACAACAGCTTGTACTTACATGTTGCCAGAACATCAGAAATTGAGTCAGCCTCTCAGGCTAATCAAAAAGCAAACAACTCAAAAATAATTTGTTGGCTTGTGATGTTTCATTTTGCAGCTTTTGAAGCACTTGTGAAGAAGGATATGAATCCCTACAAATTCTTCCTTCTTGGAAACACTGTTGTCTAAGTGTAAGAAAGCCATTCCACTCTGCCAACTAAGCCACTCTTAGGATTTGCCTCTATTCACACCCTTGCAAGAATGAAGTGGACATTTCCATACAGTTCAGGTTCTCAAGGCATCTTGGCATGAAATAGGCAAGTAAGTTAGGTTGGTGTTTCTCAACCTTTTCCCCACCTCCGCACTGCTGAGGAATATGGTACACTCTCACATTTGCACCAGCAAGTGTTTAGAGTGGTAGCATGTATGTGTGGTTTGAAAACTCCCTCTGAGGAACCTAATAAATTTCGCCAGCCCTCCTCCTTCTCCTAATTGAGGTCACAAACTTATGCAAGGTTTTGGTGTGTAGCAAATCTTCTTAGAAATGGCCAAAAGTAAAAAGTAGAAATCACTTAGTATCTAGGTCCCAGGAATACCAAGCAAAATAAAGGTAGACTTTAAAAACTGTTGGACTAATCTGCTCTTTTACACAGCAGATTCAGTGTCTGAGCCCCTTCTTG